CACGGAGGCGACTTTCCAAGTCTGGGAGCTGCCGGAAACCTGTGAACCCCTCCTGGGGTGGCCCCTGCCCCCCAGGGCAGCAGGCCCCCCTCACCTCTGCTGCCCTTTCCTGCCTTCTCCTGGGGCCTGGGCTATTTTGGGTGTGTACCAGCCGGGGTTAATCTCCTTAAGCGATGAGCTGTGCTGCCCAGTGGCCTCCTGCAAGGGCCCAGCCGGCTGCAAAGGGGAAGCTGAGGGGCAGCTCTGGGGACGGGGACGCTTACGGGCCAGCGCCCTGCAGTGACCAGCTAGGGGTGCTTTTGCGTGGCTTCCTGGCTGGGGAGGCTCCGCTGCCCCCTGCTCTTGGCTGAGTGCACGCGCTAATCCCGGGCCCAGGGAAGGCCAGGGGGACGGCAGGGACCCAGGCTGCGGGTTCCTTCCCCACTTGGGAAGGAAAGAGAACACATGAGCTGACCTGTTGGGATTCGATTCCCGAAACCTGAGCCAAGGATGAGGATTTCACTGGCAAACACCTGCCAGGGACGTGGTCTTCCACCTGATGGGGAGTGGTTCCAGATGGACCTGGTACTACGTGTGCCCCCACAGCCCCTGGCCTGACCCCCACTCTTCTGCCTTACAGTCGCTGAGGCCTGGGCCCCACGGAGCCAAGCCCTTGAGCCAAAGCCCTCTGAAATCTCACCAGCCCAAAGAGGAGAGAAAACAGGTAAGCCGAATGCAGCCTCAGGGTGGCGCTCGCATGCCCACAACAGACCAGGGCCTGACCTTGCAGGGGTGAGACTCATTTCCTGGAGGAAACGGCCTGGGACCCAAAGAACAGGTAGGAGGGGCTAGGAAGAGGCAGAGGGTGGGGTCGGGGGTTGGGAACATGGAGAGGGTAAGGAGGGAAGCCTTTGGAGTATTCCAGCCCACCCCCAGTCCTGGCTATCGCTGACCCTCCCCTCTCCGCCAGGTTCCTCCTGCCTAGAACAAGCCTGAACGTAAGATTCCAGCTGCTGGTCTTTCACTCAGGGTTGTGGGGGGTTCTGGAAAAAGGACAGGGTGCAGCTTTGGTAGTAGAGCACATGGATGGTCCACACGAAGCCCTGGGTTCACTCCTCCTCACCTCCCTCCTCCCCACCTTCAACAAAAGCATTGAACCTCAATAATACATCCAATAAAATTTTGTTTTGCTTTGGGGCCACACCTGGCGATGCTCAGGGCTTACTTCTGGCTCTGCGCTCAGAGATCACTCCTGGTGGGGGCTCAGGGGACCAAATCAGGTGCTGGGAATCAAACCTGGGTCAGCCGCATGCCAGTCAAGTACCTACCCACTTTATTCTCTTTCCAAGCTCTGGGAAATTTCAGAGGCATAAACCACAGTAGACAGTGAGTGTCACTTGACAATCAGCCACTGAACCCATCACCCAGCGCGGATACTGCCCAGCTAGTGGAGAACCTCATGCCTTTACACCCTACCCTGCCCCTTAAAGCCTAATTCTCCCACTCTTCCCCCAACATTTCAGTAATCTAACCTAAAAAATAGAGGTTCTGTCAAAAGTCTACCAGTACACTGTCTAAAAGGAATTAACAGAATTCCTTAAAACCATCTGGGGGCTGAAGGGAGCGATAGCACAGCGGGTAGGGCGTTTGCCTTGCCTGCGGCCGATCCGCGTTCAATTCCCAGCATCTCATATGGTCCCCTGAGCATTGCCAGGAGTAATTCCTGAGTGCAGAGCCAGGAGTAACCCCTGTGCATTGCCGGGTTGCGGGGTGTGACCCAAAAAGCAAAACAAACAAACAAGCAAAAATACCCTTAAAACTGTCTTATGTCATACATGATGGAATACTGCTTGGCCATAAGAAAAGATGAAGTCATGCAAATGGTGGCTATGTGGATGGATCTGGAGAGCGAGTTGAGTGAGATTGGCCAGAGGGAGAGGGCCAGACTCAGAATGTTCTCTCTCATAAGTGGGGAATAAAGAAACTCCACAGGGAATATCAAATGCCCAAAGGTGATAGAGAGGAAGAGCAGGAAAACTGGTCCTCAGTAGGAAGCTTGGCCCTGGGGCAGGGGTGAGGGGAATGAGTTAGGGAAGGGAACACCTGGACCACGGGGAGGGGAAGTTTATCTATCTATCTATATCTATATCTATCTATCTATATATATATACATATATATTTATATATCTGAATCTCAATCATAAATATCTTTGTAACTTTGTAATTCAAAGGGATTCAATTAAAAAGGTAAACAATTTCTTTGAAAAAGCCATCTGATGTTTAGTGAAAATTACGTTTTCTAATATAACTGACTGTTAGCCAGTTTAATCCTTTATCCAAATCTTCTTGGTTCCATCGGTTGTATCATGGTCACAGCAGGGAAGAGACTTGTGACTTCTGTGACATCGGACACATGGCTGGGTGAGGGCCACAGGGTGGGGACTTGTGTGTGTGTGTGTGTGTGTGTGTGTGAGTGTGTGCGCGCGCGCGTGCGCACGCTGTCCATGGCTTGCCATGAGTCTCAGGGCATGCACTGGATGACTCTGCTCTCTGTGGTAGACTAGTCCCTGGCCTTGACTGCTCTGTGCCTCAGTTTATCAATCTGTGTAACGGGGCTGAAAGCACACCCTAAGGCATAGCTGTCTTCCGAGTCATGAGGCTTGACTGAAGCTTGATGGTCTTCAGACACATGAGGTCCTCGGCACAGCCTTCTTTTGCTGAGCTTCCACAGGTCATGTGGAAAAGGCTGGTTCCCTGGTATGGCTAACGCCCTGTCTGATGGTAAGTGGCCCAGACAGTGAGTCTAGCCACTGCTCTGAGTAACAGCCCAGGCGCTCCTGAACACCCCGAGTTTGCTTGTTTACTCTGATCACAAACAGCACAGCCCTCAGGGGCCCTGGGGCAGGGGGCCAGCACCCTCTACAACTCTGCCCCAGCCGGCTTTCATGGCACATTTCACCCCTGTGCCCGGTGCTAAGTGCTCTCTGCATGATCCACCCCAACAGTCCAGATGACACCCTGAAAGGTGGGGGTTTACTACGAGGAAATGGAGACTGGCTACTTTGCTACTTCAGTTCGAGCTCTTGGCCACATGCAGTTCCCACATGTAGTTCGAGGAAGGTTCTCTCAGAGCTCCTTTCCCTAACTGTTTCCAAACCCTCCTGGAGAGATACATTTACCATTCACCACCCGGAAAGTGCAGCTCAGGATGTGGCTGACCTCTGGCTACTCGGTGGACTCTTGACTGGGGTCCCCACGCCTCTCCTCTGCTCACCGAGGACTCAGCACTCAGGCACTGCCCCCTGCTTCTCTCCTGGGTCCAGCTCTGTGTGGCCGTGGCAGGAGGGAGAGGCTGGGGTATAGGGAAAACATGGCCTTCCACCATGAGACCCTCTCTGGGGCCTGTGGTGTTGCCTGAAGCCCCCTAGGGTGTGGGAGCTCCATGTTCGCATCCTGGAGAGTCCAGCTCCCTGGGGGAACTGGGGCCAGAGCCTCTGGTGATTTCATTCTTTCCCTGTTTCCTGGGAGTCGTGTTGAGGTCTTGGCCCTGTGGCTCTCGTTCTTTCCATAAATAGTTTAGGGTTTATTCATCAGTGTCAGGCTGCTTCAGAGCAGCTCCATGGCCCGCCACAGCCTGGCCCTGCAGGCGAGCCCTCCCTGGAGACTGCACTCTGGGGGGTCTCACCTGTCCCTACACTGGGAAGGGGCTCGCCTGTCCCTATACTCTGGGGGGTTCACCTGTCCCTGTACTCTGGGGGGCCTCACCTGTCCCTACACCCTGGGGAACCTCAACTGTCCCTACACCCTGAGGGACATCACCTGTTCCCCTATACTCTGGGGAACCTCAGCTGTCCCTACATTCTGGGGGACCTCATCTATCCCTACACCGGGTTTGGGCTCACCTGTCCCTACAATGTCCCAGGCTGACCCAGCCTGCCCTGTGCCTCATGTAATGCCCCCAGAGGTCAGACGGACCCCTGCTTTCTCACTGCCTCAGAAAGACCACGTGATTTGAAGATCTGAACCTCAGTTTCCACAGGAGTAAAGCAAACAAAGAACTGAGCCCAGGTGAAGAGACAGTATGGGGTGAAGTTTCTTGCCTTGCACATGGCCAACCTGGTTCGATCCCCAGCATCAACCATGGTCCCCCAACCCTCCCAAGAGAGAGCAAGAAAGCAAGAGTCTTTCGCTTGCAAGGATTGGCCAGGAACGGAGCAGGACGGAGACGCAGCCAGAGCAGAGAGACGAGGCTGGGCGGGGGGGTGGGGGGGGAATGAGCATTCCTGAGGTCTGACCAAGGTGGCCTGCACAGCCGGACTCAGGCCAGGCCCGTGATCCCACGGACACGGTGAGGAGAGATGCTCCACATCACCCCAGAGGCACCCCTGCGGAAGCCAACCCAATGTGGGGGTCCTTCCCCAACCGCACCCCCGTCTCTCCTCTGACTCATCCTGGTGGCAGACAGTGCTGCTTCCTCCTCCACTCTTCCAACAGGAAGGGGCCTGGCTGGCTTAGCCAGTTTACGACAGGTAGGGGGGCCCTGGGAGACCTTCCAGAAGGTCCCCAGATGCAACCGGCTGGAAGCTTCCTGGTCAGCTCACGCTGCTCACCTGCAGAGCCCTGGGCTCCATTTTCTGAGCCCCCACAAGGACCCTTGTGCCCTGAGATGCCCAGAAGACCTCAGAGTCCCTGGATAAGAGCTTCTGCCACTGGGGGTAGTTGGTTTTCTCTGCTTGGGGACCTCCTTTCCACCCCTCTGCACGATAGGATGGGATGAGTATGAAAGAAACCAGGATGTTGGGGGACAAGGATGGACAGCTCAAGGACACCCCTCCCAACACATCCAATTTTGGAAATAGCCACTGGGACCGAAATCACCCCCCTGCCAACCCAGCAGGCCCTCATTGGATCTGGAGCCTTCAAGCCTCGGCCAACAAAAGCCTTTCTTCCTAGGAAAGAAGCATCCTAGCCATGGAGCTTGGGGGGTCCAGCCCTTCCACATGCCCTGCCCTCGCACTCACGTCCACGGACATCTCCCTCTGCAGCCTCTTCTTGGTCTCCTTCTCGCGGAAGTTGAGCATGGCCTCCCGGCTACACACGCCCGTGGATGGTTTCTCTGTCTGGGTTCGCTGGAGCAGCCCCACGGGGATACTCCCGTCCGGGTCCACCACGTCCAGTTCCTTCTCCAGCTCCTCCATCTCCTCGGGAGACAGGGTGGACAGCAGGCTGTCAATATCGGGGTCCTCGCTCACCTGCCGCCGGTACTTAGCCACTTTGGACATCTTGGCAAAGTGGATTGTGTGGGGGCCTGGCAGGGGGCTGCGGGGAGAGTCCAGGTGGGCTGGGAAGGACGGGTCAGCTGTGCTGGAGGGGACGAGAGGGCTTGAGAGCACCGCTCCAGCTGGTGGGAGAGCTGCGTGCTGGGGGGGGGGGGGGGCTGAAACACAGGGTGTCACTGGGGGTGCAGCTCCCTCCGGGGCCCAGAGCAAGTGGACCCCGGCTGCTCTCACCGGTGTCCAATTAGACCCACAACTGCCCGCCCCGAAGCCAGAAGCCAATCGCAGTGAGTGGGGCGGGCCTGGGCGCTGACAGGGCTGTTTGAAACTTGAGGACATTCCAGGGAATCTTGAAGCGCTGTGTGACCAAATTTAGTACCGAGCATTTAGCCTTTTAAAGACAAGGGGGCCACGCCATGAGAAAAAGAGAGAAAAATGCAGAGGGCGGCTCAGCGGATCAGGACCGCAGAGAGCCAGAAACACAGGGCTGGGCTCTGGGGGCCTGGAGCCGGCGTGGGGGTCCTTCCGCTGTGGGGATCCCTGCTTCTTTGGGATTGTTTTCAGTAAGAGACCGGGGGACTCCGGGTTATTGGCAGCTCTAGGCGTCTTCTTGTAGACCCCCCAAAGCCCACCACCGCCTGCCCACCCGTCTGATCCCTTTTGCCCAGACCCCAGGGCTGGGCAGTGGGCCCCAGGCACCGGTGACCACATGAGTGAGGGAGCGTACCCACAGGGTACCCCGGACTGAAAACTGGCAGGATCTTTGGGGCGAAAGTGAAAACTGGTCTGCAGAGGTCAGGAAATGCTGGGGGTTGGGGGTGCAGGTGGGGACCCTCTCTTGAAACTCTAAGGCTCCTGATTTGTGTGTATATAGGTGGAAGTTGTGGGATGTGGAGGGAGGGGGAGTCCACACTCAGCAGTGCTCAGGGCTTGCTCCTGGCTCTGTGCTCAGAGATCACACCTGGCAGGATGACGTGAGGCGCCAGGGATGGAACCCAGCTTGGCTTGCATACAAGACAAGCGCCTTAACCCCTATACTCTCTCTCCAAGACTCCTGGGAAGTGGGGGTATCCCCCCAGCTCTGAGTGGCCTCTGCCTTGGCAGCGAGGGATCTTTCCCAGCCCTCCTCCTTGGGGAGCACCAAGGAGCAGTTGGCGGGGTGCCTCCGGCACGGAAATGCAGAGCACGGTTCGGCGAGTCTTCAGGTGAACCTTAGTCTGGGCTGCTGGGAGCGATCCTGTTGCAACAGGGCTGGCAGGACACGGAGCAGGCACTGCCACCACCCATCCATCATGCTGCCTGTACAAGCCACCCTGACATTCAATCTCCTGTCCCCTCCCTCATGCCACCAAATCCCTTTTAGAAGAGCTGGTGTAACCTATCAGGGTAGATGCTTCGATCTTTCCTGGCGTCCCTCCATCCTGAGCTGGAGAGAGACAGTCACTTGATCAGCATTTGCTGAGTCCGGGGATCTCAGGGACAAAAAGCTGGCCCTGGCACGAATGCCCACAGCCCAGCGTTGGGTTAAGGCTGAGGAGCATGATGGTGGGCGGCTGGGAAGGGAGTCGAGCGACAGGGCCGGTCATCTGAGGGGAAGAATGTAAGAAGGGTGTATAGAATCTTGGGGGTTGTCATGTCTACATTTGGGGATGGGGGCTCTCAAGCATGCCCCATCACGACTTCGTCTAGCTGTGCCGGCCTAACGGCACTCATTGCTGAGCATGCCGTGTTACTGGGTCCAGTGGAGCTGGGGGCTGCCAAGGCTATGCCCAGCAGTGCTCAGAGAGCCACACAGTGCCGTGGCTTTGTGCATACAAGGCGTTTGCTCTTTGAGCTCTAGCCCTGGTGCCCTGTTTGTTTATTTTAGTGGTGCCAGAGATGGAATTCCTAGGAGGCATCTATTCTGCCTCTGAGTCCCAAACACAGCCCCCCTCCCCCCGGGTTGTCCTTTTTTATTTTTTATTTTTGCTTTTTGGGTCACACCCAGCAATGCTCAGGGGTTACTTCTGGCTCTGCACTCAGCAATCACTCCTGGCAGTGCTCAGGGAACCATATGGAATTGAACCTGAGTTGGCCGCATGCAAGGCAAATGCCCTACCCACTGTGCTATCGCTCCAGCCCCCCAGATTGTCATTTTGAAGAAACATACACTGAGCACTCACTCCGTGTCAGGCACTGTTCTCAGAAAAAGAGATTCAGTTCATTCCACCGCCACTTTCGTCCCTGCCTTCTGGGAGCTTACACACTATCAGGGAAGAATAAGTGAGTGAATAATTTCAAATGATTCCTTGAAAAATTCAAACTAGAGCTGGAGAGATGGTCCAGGGGGTCAGGTGCTTGCCTTGCCTGTGACTGCCGTAGGTTCAATCCCCAGCATCCCATATGGTCTCCCGAGCCCCACCAGGAATAATCCCTGAGCACGCCTGAGCACAGCTGGCCCAACACCCCATCCTCAAATTAAGTCTGCAAAATGCTTCAGAAGAGAAGTACAGAGGCAAGAGGTTTCCAAACTTATTTGGTCTCCTGTCCACTTTTCAGAAAACATCCTTCAGGGCTCCCCTAGAAATCAACCTTCTTTAAATGAGCTTACAGGGGGTGTATTTGCCTTGGGTATTTGCCTTGCATGCAGCTGACCCAGATTCAATCCCTGGCATCCCATATGGTCCCCCGAGCACTGCCAGGAGTAATTCCTGAGTGCAGAATCAGGAGTAATTTCTGAGCATCGCTGGGTGTGGCCCAAAAAGCAAAATAAAATAGATAAATAAATAAATGAGCTTACAGAAGGCGCCCCCTAAGTGCATAGGAGGTTGCTAACATTCCTCCTTTCATAGACTTCATGACCCCGGGGGTGGGAAACACTTTGGGAAACACTGGGCCTAGAGAGAGCACGTTCAAGGAGCTGGTTTCACAGTGAAGTGCTGTCGCAGGGCTGGAGAGAGCTCAGGAGGCCAGAGCACAGTCTCTGCAGGCGGGAGGCCCCAGTTAAAAGATTCCCAGCTCCTCGGGCTCCCCTGAACACCTCCTAGGGTGATCCCTGACCCCAGACAAAATGAAACAAAGATGGCTTCAAGTGACCGGGGCTCTGCAGGCTGCCAGATCTGGGTGAGGGCCTGGTTTGGCTACTGACCAGGCTGGGATACTGGACCAGTTCCACCCTCTTTGAGACCTGATATCACCATGCAGGAAGTAAGGACACCCGTTGAACTGACCTTGTCAGACTGTTGCAAACATTGAATTTGAACAGATACAGGAAATAGTTGATGAACTGGCATGAGGCCTATTCATGTTGATTAGAATTATTTCTGTTTACTCAGCCTGGATGATTTCCTCATCCCATCACTTTTCTCATTGTTCCCTTTTTCTTTGTCTGCAGTAATCAGCGTGTGCTCTCTCTCTCTCTCTCTCTCTCTCTCTCTCTCTCTCTCTCTCTCTCTCTCTCTCTCTCACACACACACACACACACAACACACACACACACCTTCTCATTCATCAAACATTTACTGAGCTACTGCTATGGGTATCACCCCAGGAGCTGTAGATGCAAAACACTGAGCCACATCCCTGACCCCAATACATTGATGGTGTAGAGGTGAAAAATGGCAGCGGGGCTGGAGCAATAGCACAGCGTGTAGGGCGTTTGCCTTGCACGCGGCTGACCCGGGTTCGATTCCCAGCATCCCATATGGTCCCCTGAGCACCGCCAGGGGTAATTCCTGAGCACAGAGCCAGGAGTAAACCCTGCGCATCGCCGGGTGTGACCCAAAAAGGAAAAAAAAAAAAAAGAAAAATGGCAGCCCAGAAGGCACAGCCTGCAGCAGGATTTTGTTCTAAATACTGGGTGAAGGGGCCTGAAGGGCCCTGAAGGGGCCAGGGTTCAGGGGTTAAAGGTGTTTGTCATATATGGCTGAACTGGGTTCAATCCCCAGCAACCCACCTGGTCCCCTGAGCATGGCCAGGGGGTGATCCCTGAGTGCAAAGCCAGAAGTAAGCCCTCAGCACTGCCGGGTGTGGCCCCCAACCATCACCACTCCCCTCAAAAAAAAATTGCTGAGTGGAAAGGGTGTTTCCTGCCTTGCTAGCAAGTGTCTAGCCAAGCCCCACACCAGGACAGCCAGACTTAATTCTCACTCTGGCCCAGAAGGGACTCTCTGGAGGAGGTGTCATTTTTCTGCCCCGACCCCACCCTGTCTTGGTTTGTGTTTTCCCCAATTTCTTCCCTACCCTTTCGTATCACTGTCTCTGAGACAGTCAGGCCCCCAATATGCTGAAAGCAATTATCCATCCAGCCCCCACAGAGTCTTTATTCTCAGACTCTCTGCCAAACATGTTCACTCTTGCCAAAGAAGAGTGAGGGCCTGAGTCCCACCCCCACCCCCACCCCCATCAGCTCCTGCCCATCTGGCTGCTGTGGCCTCTGCTACAACGACAACCCCCAGAGTCCACACTTAGAGCACAGGTGTGGCCTCCTAATCAGAGGTAGGAGTCCCGGAACCTCTGAGCCTCTCTGATGCAGGTCCCACAATTCCAGACATCAAATTCTCTTGAGCTGCATTGGTCTCAAAGTTTTGGATCTTGGGGCTCCCGGCACCTGCTTGCTAAAAGTCTCCCTTGAAAGGCTGGAAGAATAATACAGTGGGTAGGGCACTTGCCTTGTACACAATTGACCTGGGTTCAATTCCCGACACCCAGGTGGTCTCCTGAGTCCTGTCACGCGTAGTCCCTGAGTGCAGAACCAGGAGTCAACCTTGAGCACCACTGGGTGTGACCCCCCCAAAAACAAAACACCAAATAAATAAAAAGGCATCCCGGTTGGGGCTAGAGAAGTCCTGTCTTTTCTAGTTTCTGCCTATCCACTCTGCAGGGTCCATGGTTAGTCAAACTCAGAATCCCCTTCCACTAGAAAATAATTCTTCCAGGACACTGGGGAAACTGCCATGATTGGGGCTGGATCCATAGTACAGTGAGTAGGGCATTTGCCTTGTTCTGGAGCGATAGCACAGCGGGTAGGGCGTTCGCCTTACAAGCGGCCAACATGGCCGACCCGAGTTCGATTCCTCCGCCCCTCTCGGAGAGCCCGGCAAGCTACCGAGAGTATTCCATATGCCAGACACAGTAACAACAAAGTCTCCAATGGAGATGTTACTGGGCCCACTCGAGCAAATCGACGATCAACAGGAGGGCCTTTACCTTTACCTTTATGGCCAACCTGGGTTTGATCCCTGGCATCCCATATGGTTCCCCAAGGAATTACTCCTGAATTACTCCAGGAGTAATTCCTGAGTGCAGAGCCAGGAGTACAGGAGTAACCCCTGAGTATCACCAGGTGTGACCCAAAAACTAAAAAAAAAAAAAAAAGAGAGAGAAAGAAAGAAAGAAAAAAAAAGGAAACTGGCATGGTCTATGCTCCAGGAAAAACAAACAAACAACAACAAAGTACCATAGAGAGCACGGGCTCAAATCTGAGCTGTGTGAGCTTGAGTAGGTTATTTAATATCTCTGAGCCTTAGGAAATAGAAAATGAAGATAGTAAAAGTACCTTGCTAAAGAACAGAAGTACCTGGTATGCAGGTGGTAACTATTGTTTATACCATAAAGCACTCAAACTGCAGAAAAAAAGCATCAGTGGGCTGGAGCAATAGCAAAGTAGGAGGGCGTTTGCTTTGCACATGGCTGACCTGGGTTCAATTTCCAGCATCCCATATGGTCCTCCTGTGCATTGCAGGGTGTGACCTAAAAAGCAAAAAGCAAAAAAAAAAAAAAAAATAGCATCAGACACAATGTAGGCACCAATGGATGATCACAACAATCCTCCCATAGCCACGGGAAATCTGTCCCAACTCTCCAGTGGATATTGGAAAACACACCTAGGGCTAAACCCTATTGGGGAGGGGAGGTTCCTGGCACTGCGCTAAGGTATCACTCCTGGTGGTGCGTGAGGGATTACATGTGGTGCTGAGGACTGAGTCCAGGTCACTGCTGCCACATTTTCAAGCAAGACCTTACCTTCTGTACTATCTCTCCACTGTCAAACCCATCTGGACTGTTTTTTTCCCAACACATACCTCTCTATGATAAAGTTTAATTTCTATATTAGACTCAGTAAGAGATGAGCAATAATAATAGAATGATTGAACAACACAGTGATAAATTATGTCAATGTTCTTACTCAAAGTATCTTATTGCAATTGTGTGTGTGTGTGTCTGTATGTGTGTGTTTTGTTTTGGGCCCACAGACAGTGGTGCTCAGGGCTTGCTTAATCCTGGCTCTGCACTTAGGAATTACTCTTGGAGAGCTTGGGGGACCAAATGGGGTGCCGGGGATTTAACCCAGGTTAGGCCAGGTGCAAGGCAAACTCTCTACCCACTATACTATTGCTCTGGCCCCTAGAGGTAATATTTTTGGGCTGCATTTGACTCAGGCTGACTCAGTCAACAGCATCCCAAAACTGAAACCATAGGTAAGGGAAGACAACTATTTAATATAGTTGACCCTGGAGTAACGTGGGTTGAGGGTTCCAGGAAAATTCAGGTAAGACTACTCACTCCCCCAAAACTTAACTACAATCTTCCTTTGATATCTAGAAAGAAAATATCCTTGCCCCGTGAGGATGCAAATCTCTAGTTAATGAAATATTTATATCCACTAGATCTGGAGCACTGACTGAGCATGAAATTTTTTTTTCAGACCACACCCAGTGGTCCTCCAGGCTTACCCCTGGCTCAGGGATGACTCCGGGCAGTGAAACGAAGTACAGCGCTAGAGTTGGAACCCAGGTCAGCTGGCTGCAAGGCAAGCGCCTTACCGCTGTACCATCTCTCAAGTGAATATGAAATTCTTTTTTCTTTCCTCTCTTTTTCCTCTTGCTATATCTGGGGATGAATTTCATGACCTCATACATACAAGCAGGTATGCGAGCCATATGTGGGAAACTACACATGGAATTCTTTCTTGAGTTCCTTATTCTGGGTTACATGTTGCCCATCTCCCTGGCTCTTACTTGCGCCTATATAAAGTAGATTGCATGATAGTCCCACAGCCCAAAAAAACATCTTGCATTTGCATATGCAAAGCCAGTGTGTAGTCTGAAGTGTTCTTCTCACATACAAGATGCAGGTTACAGGAGAATTCTGAATCTGCTCATCTTCAAAGGTTATGCAGGAAATTCTCTTCCTCTTCTCTGTAGCTGCCAAGCGTGCAGTGCGCGGCCTTTTCTGTAAAATAAACACATGTATTATAAAATCATTCTCAGAAGTGCAGAACTGAGGGTTCATTTAGACAGATATTGCAAAAGTGTCTTTTTTTTTTTTTTTTTTTTTTTGCCGACCTTAAAGGAAAAGGGAGACAGACGTGTAAATCCTTTCACGATCTTTTATGGGCTAACCATCCCTCACAACAGGAGAGAAACCAGGAAGGGGCTCTGTGGTCTCTGTTCTTTAAATCGCAGGTCCCAGATCGTCCTAATACCGGGTATTTCCATTTCACACTTGTTGAACAAGTGCTCATTCCACGGGTTGCAACTATTAACATCTCTAAGACACCTCGCTGAAGGATTCAGGAATCATGAGGATTTAGGCAGCCTTATCAGTTAACAAAGTACTTGGGGGAGGAGGGGGCCGGGGAGGAAAGATAAGAAAGAAAATCGAAACGTTTCAGGAAGTTTGGTGAACCTGAGCGCAGCAAAGCTGGGTTTATCTGAGGTCACCGAACCTTCAGCGACGAGGTAACTCGACCTCCGCGTCACCCAGCGCGGCCCAGGGCAGCCTTCGAGGACCTGGGCGGGGCGCGCCGCGCCGCCCCGCCTCCGCATGGCAAATGCCTGGCTCCCATTGGCCGAGGCGGGAGAACACGGCGAACCAATCACCGCAGACCTTAACGCCCTGCTCTCGGGATCACTTCCGCTGCTGAGGTCAGGCGCCGCCTCGCTCGTCCGGCATCGCTCAAGGCGCCGGAGTCAAGATGGAGGAGTACGCGCGGGAGCCTTGGTGAGCCTCCGGCGCGGCCCCTCGGTCCCCTCCTCCTCCTCCTCCCCCTCCTCCTCCTCCTCCTCCTGCCCTCCGCCGCCCCCGTCCCACCCCGTCCGCTCTCTTCCTCGTCGCCGTGCGGCCGTGCGAGCCGGAGCCGCCACTCGGCTTCGCGGCCGCGTACGCCGCGCCAGCCCAGCACCGAGGTGACCTTGCGGTGGCCGAAGCAGTGGCCGTGGCAGTGGCCGTGACACTGGGCCGGACGGAGACTCGGGCCCTGCCCCCATGCGGGGCCAGGAGCGCCCCCACCCCCGGCCTCCGCGGTGACCTTGGGCGCCCCTGCGTCCGGCTCCGCTCCGTCGGGCGGGGAGGCCGGGGAGCGGGGCCCGTCCCGGGGGGCGGAGGGTGGGTCTGGCCCGCCCGCGGGCTCCAGGTGACCCCCGGAGCGGGAACGTCGCTTTCCGGCGTGGGCCTCGCCCTCGGGAAGAGGAGGGGGCACGGCGCGTCTCCGGACGCGGGAGACTCCACGGAACGTCGCCCCCCGCTCCGGCGCCAGGTGTGGGGAGGGCGGGTCGCTCTGTGACGCGCGGTCTGCAGCCTGCAGGTCGGTTAGAACCTTTTCCAAACGGCTTTGATCATCTGCTTTGCCCTGTTTGGTAACAGCAGCATTTTCTCGGGTCGTCCTAGCCCAGACTGGATTCCCCCCCCTTTTTTTTTTATAACCCCCTGCATGCCCCCCCCCCCCAGTCTCACCCCCTACACCATGAGTCGTCTGAATTCTTTAAAATCGTCCCCATCAGCCCCAGTTGTAAGGATCTTACCTGGAGCCCTTAAAGCTTTTTTTTTTTTTTAACAAAAGGAAGTAGTTTCCTAGTGGCTTCCTGCAGCCCTCTCTTTTTTATTTATTTATTTATTTATTTATTTATTTTTTTACAGTTGTAGATTTACAATTTTTTTTTTGTGCTTGGGTTTCAATTATACAATGATCAGATACCCATCCCTCCACCAGTGCCCGTTTTTCACCACCATGGATAATATCCCTCCCACCCCCATCCCCCCATCCCCCCCTGCCTCTGTGGCAGGGCAATCCCCTGTGTTCTCTCTCTCCGTTTGGGTGTTGTGGTCTGCAAAAGAGGCATTGAGTGGCAAACATGTTCAGTCCATAGTCTACTTTCGACATGCATCTCCCCTCCTGGGAGGATCCTCCAAACATCCTTTATTTGGTGCTCCCTTCTCTATCTGAACTGCCCTTTCCTCTAGGATACCCGGCTGGCCTCTAAGTTATGGGGTAATCCTCCTGGTGCTGATCTCAGCTATTCTTGGGTATTAATCTCATACTTTGTTACTTTATATCCCCCAGATGAATGCAATCTTTCTATGTCTATCCCTCTCTTTCTGACTCATTTCGCTTAGCATGATACTTTCCATATTGTACCACTTGTATGTAAATTTCATGACTTCATCTTTTCTAACAGCTACATAGTACTCCATTGTGTAGATGTACCAAAGTTTCTTTAACCAGTCATCTGTTCTTGGGCATTCAGGTTTCTTCCAGTTTCTGGCTATTGTAAAGAGTGTGCAGCCCTCTCTTAAGGCGTCATATGGACTTTCTTGTTCTAAATACTTCTTTTGGTCATTACCCACCCACCCTCCAAGGCATAGCCTGTGTCATAGAGTGGAAGGAATTGGGGGGCAATGTAGTACTTGCTTTGTATTTTAATTGCTTCGACTAATTGCTGCTTTTATTTATTTTTGAATAAAATATCTTTGTTGTTGGTTTTGGGAGCATATCTAGTTGTGCTTGGTCCTGGCTCTGCACTCAGGGATCACTCCTGGCAGGCTCATGAGACCAAATGGGACGCCAGGGATCAAACTCGGGTGGACCTCGTGCAAGGCAAGCACCCTCCCTGCTGTGCTTTCTCTCAGGTCCTAGGTACTGTTTTTGGGAAAGACTGGAGATGTAGCTTGATAGCAGAGTGCATGCTTTGGATGTATCAGGCCGTGGGCTTGAGGTGTAACACCAAGATTCCCATTATGATTCTGAGTCTCTGTTCATCTCTAAGATGGAGAGGAGGCCAGAGTAATTTTGCAAAGCTAAAGATCAATGATTCTATAAAAATTTTGTCTTGCAATGCCTCTGTTGTCTGCTTAATCAGTTATAGTGAGTGTTTACTAAACTTATATTTTGACCATTTTCTATTCTTGTTGCCTGTATTTGCCTGGCATTTACATTTTTCCATAGTCTGACGTCAGCCTTCCTCTTGTGTAAGAACACTTGGGTTGGGTCAGACTGTCCTGAAATGAAAAGTGCCTCCATCTTAGCCTTTGCTTGAGCAGAGGAGCAGAGGAGTGCCCTCTGATCCGTATGGTCTGTCTTTACTGGTTCCTTTTAAAAAATTTTTTTTTAATTTTTGTTTTTGGGCCACATCTGGCAGGGCTCAAAGGATGCTCCTTGGCAGGGCTCGGGACCACATGGGATGTCAGGGATTGAACCCAGATCTGCTGCATGCAAGGCAAACACCCTTCCCATTATACCGTCTCTCCAGACCCCAGAATACCCATTTAACTCCAGCTCGACATACTCTATGGACTAGACCTAATTTACACTGTTTCCTTTTCTTTGGATTCTATCACATACCCATGTGGAAACTTCCTTGTTTGATTGAAAACACCCCCCACCGCGCCCCCCAGCATGCCAGGCACGCACCCAGCCTTTTGCACACTTTCCTAGACCAGTAACTTCCTATTCTCCTCTCCTTGTAATGTCACTGACCCAACTCTCACACGGGCCACTCATTTGCCCTGATCATTTTTCTTTCTCCGTTACCTTTTTTTTTCTTTTTGGGTCACACCCAGCAATGCTCAGGGGCTATTCCTGGCTCTGCACTCAGGAATTACTCCTGGCAGTGCTTGGGGGACCGTATGGGATGCCGGGGATCGAACCCAGGTCGGCCGCGTGCAAGGCAAATGCCCTACCTGCTGTGCTGTTGCTCCGGCCTGTCTGTTATCTGTTTTTAAAGGCATTTTCTGAATCTTTTTATAGCCTCTCAAAGTGCTGCTTCTTAAGCCTTCGAAGTGACATGAGATCGAGGGCTCCAGGTTGGATCCCCAGGCCAGCATGGTTCCCTGGGTGCCAATAGGGTAACCTCCACTATCAGGTGTAATTCCAAAAACAAAAATTAGTAAATTGGGCTGGGAAGGGAACTGGGAGTGCCTGCCTGCCTTAATTCCTAGCATAACTAGGAGTAGGACCCAAGCACTGAATCAGAAGTAGTCCCTGAGTACTACCAGGGTGGCCTCCAAAACAAAAACAAACAAACAATATATATAGATATATGTGTATGTATGTGTGTGTGTGTAAATAAAGTGATACAAGGCCTCCAGGGATTCTTTCAGTGGTGGATTGTGGTACAGCAATCCACGTGGTCTCGGGAGTCTACTTCTCTAATATTTCCGGTGTCACCGATTTGGATTTTATTTTCAAGTATGTACGTATTTATTTTTGGTGATGCTAGGCATTGAACACTCGTGTGTGAGGCATGATCTTTAACAAACCCAGCCCTCTAATCAAGCCTTGGGTGGCAAGGCCCAAAGCAGCCTGCTAACCACTGGCGTTTGTGCAGTTAAGACCTAGTTCAGAGCAAAGCCCAGATCTGTTTTGCCTCTTGAAAAGGATAGAACATTTTGACTTCAGCTCTCCATGTTTGTCAATATTGGAAATTGCTCATTTTTCCAATTCCCTGGTAGCAGCCATTTGTTCAGTTTACAGATTTACTTGAATAGGTGGATGCACACATTTCAGTATAGAATTTAACTCTTGAGACTAAATAAAAGACGTTTCTTGTATACTTGCATTGGTTTGAAATTGCTTTTATTAACTGGGCCAGAGAGCTAGGACAGCAGGTAAGGCCACATGTCTGGCCTGTGGCCGACCTGAGTTTGATCACTGGCATCCCCTTCGTAGTCTTCTGAGCCCTGCCAGGAGTGATTCCTGAGTGCACAGGCAGGAGTAAGCTCTGAGCATAGATGGATGTGCCTGCTCCCCCCAAAAAAGCACTTAAATTAAAAAGCACTTTGTTATTATAGATTATCGTTATTATTGGTGCTACAGGTCAAGGAACCTTGTGAGTATAAGTGTCGCTGCTTCATCCTCATTCCTTTCACGGCTTTGTGGGAAGCCTGAATCCTCAATTAGTTGCTCTAGTTCTGATCAAATTACCCAGATTTCAGTACTTTCCATAAGCGAGCATATTACACCTGGAACTTATTGTTGGACATCATTTTACATTGTGTTGATTTAATACAGGCTAAAGCTCCGAATGCCAACTTGGATCAAACCCAGAATTTCAGACTTAATTTTTTTGTTTTGGGCACACCTGGTGTTGCTCAAGGGTTGTTCCTGGCTCTGTACTCTGGGGACCACGTGGGATGCCAGGAATTGAACCTCACTCAGTTGTTTGCAAGGCAAGAGCCCTACCTGCTGTACTATCTCTTTGGCTCCAGAATTTTAGACTTTTAAAACCTAAGATAGTTTTCTTCTGTACTTCCTGAATCTCAGCTTTAAATTTTACAGCATCTGGCTCTGGAGAACATCCTAGATCCCTCCAAAACTGCTAAGAATATTGAAAATGTAATGTGCTAGCACAGTTTCAACTTCTAATAGATATGCCAGTTGCCCGGTGAATGAATCAAATGCGGTTAACTATTAGGGATGGGAGCCACGCCATTCCTTCTATCTTAGAAGATGGTCAGTAGGTATGGGTGTTCAGAATCCTTTGTTTTTTTATTTCATTTAAGATTTCCTAAAAATTGGTTTATTAAGCCAGTGTTTTTGCTGGCTGTGGAATCTGTTGCCTTTCCTACACCGTTGCAATGAAGGTTTTATGGTTTATCATCTTCCCACCCCTCTGTTCTTAGCCCCTGGAGGATCGTGGATGATTGTGGTGGTGCCTTTACCATGGGAACCATCGGTGGTGGGATCTTCCAAGCCATCAAAGGTTTCCGCAATTCTCCAGTGGTAAGTGGACCTTTATTTGACCATCATTTTGGGGATCCAGGGCTGCTTATAGCACTGTTCACGACAGTCGGTTACATTTCTGATGTTTTTGGTGGCCTCCTTTTGTTTCCTTGTAGGGAGTAAACCACAGACTTCGAGGGAGTTTGACAGCTATTAAAACCAAAGCTCCACAGTTGGGAGGTATGCTGAACCTTTCCTTGTTTTCTATTCCAGAATTATTTTTCTCTATTTGAAAATGAAGTCCCCCCCTTCTCTTTTAGAATACACCTGTTGGTGATTTTGATTCAGTCCAATAACTTGTCACAAAGTATTACCTATAGAATTTTCATATGTGGAAATAACTTATTTGGAAAGTTAACTTGAATTGTTGTAAACATTTAGGAAGTATTGTTTCTGTTCTTTGAGAGTTTGAGAGTTTTTTTTTGTTTTTGTTATTTTTCTCCCCTTTTATTCCTGAGGAAGACTGTGTGTTTAAACTCAGTCTTATGGTCAGGACTGACATTTTGGGGGGACACTAAAGGATGTGACCTGAGAGTTGGGATTCCATCAGAGAGAAACTCAACAAGCTAACAAGCCTGATAAGTTCCTTTTGAAGCTTTGCTCCTTTTGGGCAATGTGCAGAAACCAGTGCAAAACTAAAAATTCACTACCCTTTATAAACTTGGTTATTCAGATGATGGGAGATATGAGGGAAAGCTTACAGGTATTTTTGTCGGTTTATTTGTTTTTTGATTTTGGGTCACTCCTGGCTCTGCACTCAGGAATTGTTCCTGGTGGTGCTTGAGGGACCATATGGGATGCTGAGGATTGAACCCGGGTCGACTGCGTGCAAGGCAAGTGCTCTACCTGCTGTACTATCTGGCCTCCACTTAGAGGTTATTTTTCTTTTATTTTTCTTTTTTTCCCCCTACAGATTAGGCTTTTTTTTGGTTTTGTTTGTTTTTTTAAATTTTTTAATGAAACACCGGGAGATACTATTACAGACTTACACACTTTCTTGATTACGTTTCAGTCATATTATGGTCGAGTACCCATCCCTCCATCAGTGCCCATTCTCCACCACCAATGTTCCCAGTATCCCTCCCGCCACCCCCATCCCCACCCCCAACTCTGTGGCTGGCACATTCCCTTTTACTCTCTCTCCTTTTGGGTGTTATTTGCAATATAGGTACTAAGTGGCCATCATGTTCGATCTGAAGTCTACTTCTAGCACACATCTCCCGTCCCGAGCGAGCCTTCCAAGCATCCTTTGCTTGGTGGTCCCTTCTCTTTCTCATCTGCCTTTTCCTCTCGCATGTGAGGCTGGTTTCCAAACCGCGGAGGAATAGAGGTTATTTTTCACTTAATAATATACGGTCAAATTGGAAAGATTATATGTAACCTATGAAAATGATTTGATACTTTCAATCATCCCCTCAGTAACTGCATTAGGGGAAGTATGATCTCTTACTTTCTAGAAGCTATTGAGTAGTGGTAGTGACCACTTACTGGCTGCTGCCCTTAGCTCAATCATCCTGCTAAATATTTCAGAGCATCATTCTATTTAACCCTCACAGTAACACAAGAGCTAAGTACTGCTGTTCCCATTTTCTAGATAAAGGAATTGAAAGGTTCTGAGAGTCCTAGAGATGGTCTTTTTCTTCCCTCTGTAGTTACTGTGCCCTGGGAGAGAAAGTAGTGGGGACTAGTGTGTTGAGGGAAACACTGGGAGGTGGGTTTGTTTGTGTGATGGTGGTTGAACCCAGGGCCTTTCACATCCGAAATGTTGTTTCCATGTTGTTTCAGTAATGCTAAATAGTGGTAGTGGCCCTACCAAGCCCTGAACCTCCATATATACCTAAAAAATACAGGGTCTCATGCCAAACCCAGGATTGAATTGTGCTTTGGGGAAGGGAGGCTGGGAGCTATTCACGGGGATTCTCAGCTGACCAGCCAGATCAGGAAGGATGGTTTGATACTAGGGCCTGAGCATACAGTGGTGCTAGGGCTCCACCTGGAGTCAGGTACATGCAAGACATGCACCTTAACCCCTACTCTCTCCCACCCCAATTGTGCATTTTTACAGGGCACCCTGTAAAAATTACTGGCATATTAAGTGAAGTGGTTTTTTGTTTTTGTTTTTGTTCCAGGATACCACATTATATTCTGTAATTTGGGCAGTGCTTTGCCTGCTGCTATGGTGTTGGGGCCATCGGGACTATACCTGTTGGTGCTAGCGGTGCCATATGGTACTTGGGATCTGACTTGGGGCCTTGCACATACTAGATATGTATTATCACTAGTGCTATCTCCTGGGCCCCCCGGCAGGTTTGGGGGATTTTGTTTGCTTTGTTTTGGGACCAGGGCTTACTCCTCGATCTGTGCTAAGGTGGGGCTTAGGGGACCATCTACAGTGACCATATGTGGTATCAGAAATGGAGCCCCCCAGTGCAGGGCAAGTGCCTTAACCCCATTAATGTCTCTCTGGCCCGCTCATGCAGGGTTTTATGGGTTCTGAAAAACATATTAGCAGTAAATAGTGAATCAGAGGGCTGGATCGATAGCATAGTAGATAGGGCGTTTGCCTTGCATGCGGTTGACCTAGGTTCGATTCCTCCGCCCCTGTCAGAGAGCCCAGCAAGCTTCTGAGAGTATCCTGCCCGCACGGCAGAACCTGGCAAGCTCCCTGTGGCATATTCTGTATGCCAAAAACAGTAACAGCAAGTCTCACAATGGAGACGGTACTGGGCCCACTCAAGCTAATCAATGAACAACGGGAGGACAGTGCTACAGTGAATGAGAATTATATCAGTTTCGGTGAATAAAACAATCAACTGTCCTAGCCAAGAGAGACCTTGAGAAACTTAATTACAGAATATAATGTGGTATCCTGGATCCAAAAAAAACAAACTTTACTTAATATGACAGTAATGTCAATCATGACATATGCAGTGCTTATGAAGTAAGATGTGGGCTTCGGGTAAATGACTTTGCTTTATCCGAGGACACTGAATACCACCTTTCCAAATTTCTTGTCACTCTGAAGGGATTCTAAAATGAAACATTTAGTGAAGCAAGATAGTTTTTGTTGAATAAAACTTAGAAAGGTGGGGGGAGAGAAAGAAATGTGTTCCAGGAAGAACCATGAGCTTGAGGAGCAAACAGAGACGTAGAAACAAGCGAACAAGTTCAAGGACTTGAGAGGACAAGCCTCAGAAATTCATTTTTTAAAAGAGTGAACGAGGGCCAGGAAGATGACTCAATGGGCTCAGCGTGTGCTTTGAGAGTGGGCGGCCCAGTCTATCCTGACACTGAGTGTTCCTCTGCGCATTCCTAGGAGGGACCTTCGAAACAAAACAAAACCAAAACAGCCATTTTGGAACAAATTCTTACTTTTTTTATTGTTTTCTCTACCCTAAATAATTTCTCCAAGGAACCCTGGGTACTTTCCATTGACAGCGGCCTTTAGAAGCCAAAAGCCGAACACTAAGTGTATTTCCTGTGGTGGGAGGCCATTGGTAGGCCTTTGTAACATCACTCACATGCACATGCATATGCATAAACACACTCATAAATGCGAGTCTGTGTTTGATTGACGATTGTGAGTTTAAGTGGCTTCCTCTAATTCCATTCCAGCCCCGCTGGCCTTGGTTTTCTCCCCATGAATGTCTCCTTTCTGGCCTGCTATGTCTAGGCCTTCACCACTCCTACCCTCCCTGCCAGGCTGCCTCCTTGGGATGCTCTCTGCTCTGCCCATGCAAGGCTTCCTTTTGTGGGGACACTCCTCACCCTGCTTGTACTCATGATACCTATTCTCAGGGTCAGAGAGTTAATGCAGACTTAAGGTGCCAGCAAGCAAGTGTCATTCTGGTCTACCTCAGCATCTTCTCTCTCCCAGCAGTTAGTGACTTCCACCACCACGTATGGGCCCACAAACACTGCCAGAGGGCACTCCTGAGTACCACTGGTGTGGCCCCCAAACAAAAACACATAAATTCCCATTCTCAGTCTTACTATACCTTTGTTCTTGGAATGCGAGGAGATTTCTGATTCTTGTTAGGGAGATGGGAGGATAATTCTGATATACCTAAGCATACCCTCTCCCCAGGCATAGAATTACTGGAAAGGGGGCTAGACAATGGTAGGGCACTTGCTCTTGCATGTTGCTGATCCAGGTTCTATCCTTGGGGCCCCATTATAGTCTGCTGAACACTGCCAGGAGTGTAGAGCCAGGAGCAAGCCCCGAGCATCACCAGGTGTGGCCCCAAAACCAAAATACTGGGGAGAAGTTGCTTGTTTTCATGCTGTCTGTTGAATTGAATATGAAAGGAAAGCTTTTAGTATAATTCAACTGGTTCTCCTTCCTAGATATGGATTGATGTAAGAACTGAAAAAGGATTCTGGTGATTGGTCCAGATATTTGGTGGGATCAAGTTTAAGTGTGTGTGTGTGTGTGTGTGTGTGTGTGTGTTTTGCCAAGGAACAAACCCAGGCTATATGTTATCACTGAACTGCACTAGCATTGGGTTTCATTTCTATTTTTCATCTCCCTTGTTTGTTCACTTTTGTTTAGTTTTGGGGCCACATCTGGCAATGCTCAGGACTTTGCACTCAGGTCACTCCTGACAGGGCTTAGGGGACCATATGGGGTGCTGGGGATCAAACACCCTTCCTGCTGTACTATTGTTTCAGTGCATCATGGTGTTGGGCTGAAGAGAGCTCAAATGACTAGAACATGCATTTGGGGTCTATTATGTTTCTTCTGGCGAAAGAGGTCCCCACACTGGGAGGTACTCGGGCTATTCCTGGCTCTGCTCAAGGATGACCTCTGGTCATGCTTGGGGGACCATAAGTAGTGCTGGGGGTTTGAAGTGGGATGTGTGTATGTTTTACTTTACACAATTGCTACTGTATTTTAAATTATTTTTTGGTTTTGAGGCCATACCCAGTGATGCTCAGGGGTTTACTCCTGGCTCTGCACTCAGGAATCACTTCTGGCGGTGCTGGGGGACAATATGGGATGCTGGGAATCAAACTCAGGTCGGCTGCATGCAAGACAAACGCCCTACCTGCTGTACTATCTATCGCACTGGCCCCACAACCACATTTTAAAAAATATTTTATTTTCATAAAGTTGTTCACAATAATTAATTACATTCAATATTTCGACACCAATCCCACCACCATTTCACTTTCCCATCACCATGATTTTGAATTTTCCCACCGCCACTCAAGCCTACCCCACAGGCAGATGCTAGACTATCTATTTATTTATTTATTTATTTTGCTTTTCGGGTCATACCCAGTGATGCTCAGGGGTTACTCCTGGCTCTGCACTCAGGAGTCACTCCTTGCGATGCTTGGGGGACCATATGGGATGCCAGGGATTGAACCTGGGTTGGCTGCGTGCAAGGCAAACACCCTACCCGCTCTGGCCCCTAGACAGTTTATTTTGTATTGCCTGTTATGGATAGCATGAGTTGTGTGGCCTCAAAAGCCGAGATTCATTTGTGAGTCTTTGGATCATGGCCATTAATGTGTTTTAATGGCACCCGGAGGCAGTTTGTGGGCCTGACAGCCTGCAGCCCGTGGGAGTGGGGATACAGGAAGGAGCGCCCGTCCCAGGTCCCTTGAGGCCTGGAGTTTGCAGTCTCTGGTCCCAAGTCCCTGGGTTTTTCATTGGGTTCTGGAGGTTTGCTGCCACTGGGATTCATAGGGGCAGGTGGTGCAACTGCATTTTTAAGAGTAGTTTATTTTAAATGCAAAAGTAATCTGGGATTGTTTTTAGTTTTGTGCTTGAGAAATAAAGAATGGCAGGGAGAGAGGAGAGGTCAGGTCTATTCCCATTATGTTCATGATTCTCACCATTGGTATCAATTCATTTGCCACTTGAGCTTCTCACATATTAGTTACAGACCTACGGCACCTTCCAGAGTAGCTGGATGTCTTTTGTATTTTGTTGGGGGTTTTGATCAAGTAAGATGCTCAGGGATAGTCAATGAGGAAAATAAAAAAAACTGATATTGTAGAGCTATGTAAGAAAAAAAGGGGGCAGCTGATCTCATTTTGTTTGTTGCTGTTGTGTTGACTCTTCCCTGCCCCTGACTCCTCAGATCTGGCTTGTTTCTTTTAGGTTTTGGGTCATTGCTCATTTTTGCTATAATGTAACTCAGACTTTGTTAAGAAGATAAGTATTCGGGGTTTTTTGTTTGTTTATTTTTACTTGTTTTTTGCTTTTGGGGTCATACCCGGAGATGCATAGGGGTTACTCATGGCTCATGCACTCAGGAATTACTCCTGGCAGTGCTCGGGGGACCATATGAGAGGCTGGGAATCGAACCTGGGTTGACTTCGTACAAGGCAAACGCCCTACCTGCTGTGCTATTGCTCCAGCCCCAAGAAGATAAGTATTCTAACTTTTGTTTAGTGCTTAGTCAAAACTCCTTTTTGCATGCCCTTGAAGTGTGAGGATTTTAAGAATATAGTGAATGTTTATCATATTTTGACTGCACTGTAATTAAGATGAAGAGTCATTTTGTTCCATCTTTAAACAGGGAGCTTCGCAGTCTGGGGAGGTCTCTTTTCCATGATTGACTGCAGTCTGGTTCAGGTTCGAGGGAAGGAAGACCCCTGGAACTCCATCACGAGCGGCGCCTTGACAGGAGCCATCTTGGCGGCAAGAAGTGAGCACTCGGGGCTTTGGAGAGACTCAGCTGGCCTGTCTGGTGACATTGTCCCCTCTAAAGCCAAATGCCTCTTCATTTGGTATAGCAAGAATGGATTTGGTGATTTGGGCATTTGTTTGGCCTGTTTGAGAATGAGAGATCATGGCGGGCTGGGTGTTCCATGGATACAAGCAGTTCAAGCCCCTCCTTCTATTTGTAGCAGCAAATAGAAGGACAGTCTACCACCCTTTGTGTGCCCTTTTTTTCATCGTACTCTGGAAATTACTCACCATGTGTGCCACATGGTGTTGTCATGAATAAACACCCAAGAACCATCTGCTGAATCTTTGGCACAGAGAACAACCTACAATTTTTTTGGCTTCATGGTTTAGCCAAGGGATTGACAAACGTTACTTGAAGGGTTGGACAGTGAGCATTCAGGCTCTGGGGGATGAGTTCTCTGTGACAAGTACTCAGCTCTACGACAGTCACCTGAACGCAGTCGTGAACACTATATGATTGAACATGTTCCAGCAAGACTCAAAAGAAGAGGAAGGAGCTGGATTTGTTTTTAGGGCCAGAGTTGGCTCATACCTGGTCTTGGACAGTCAGAAATGGGGGTTATGTGTGGCCCTGGGACTAGCTCTTCCCTTTATTTTTCACCAGGCTTCTCATGACTAACTTCTCTGTGATCACTGTATTTAGACGGCCCCGTGGCCATGGTCGGCTCCGCTGCGATGGGTGGCATTCTCCTGGCTTTGATCGAAGGAGCCGGTATCTTACTGACAAGATTCGCCTCTGCACAGTTTCCCAACGGTGAGTCATCTTCCTGCTGGTGCCATAGCTTACTTCTGGGGTGCTACCTGGATATTTAGTTGGAAACGCACTTTCTGTGCTGGAAAGGTGGTGGTTTCTGATTTTGACAAGACTAATCTGTTTGCTGTGGTTTGTGAGAACCATGCTGTGAAGCTCTGGAATTGTGACCAAGATGTTGTGGTTAGATTATTTGCTCTTGATTTTTATTTCTAATGCTCAGGTTTAATCTGTGCTGAGTCATTGTAAAGGTGCTTGAAGAGAGATCCATGTAGATTCCTAACCAAGTGAGAGTCTGTCAGTAACTTCCTACTGTTCTAGAAGCTGCCCATAGTAGTGATCACATTTTTATGTGGAAAGACAGACTAATACATTAACAGATAAGTGAGAGTATTTGTATTGTTTATTTTGAAAAAAGCATACAGCAAACTAGTAGGAATTGACTCTTGTTAGGGGATTGACCTTTTTAAGGGTCACTGGAAAAGTTTCTGAGAAATTTGTAATGTGGAGGACTGAAGAGAGAGTACAGGGAGTAACGCCTTACACATAGCCAATCCGACTTTGATCCCTGGCACCCCATATGATCTCCAGGCACTGCCTGGAGTGATCTCTGAGCACATCTGGGTGTCTCCCCATAACCAAAAATAAGTTGGCAGTATAATTTGTTGCTAATTGTTGTTCTTCTATGAACGGGAAAAATGAAATTGTAGGCTTAATGATTGTTAAGCGGTAATGAATGTTTGCTGCTTTTTTTTTTTAAATGTATGCTGTTTCTTGTAATTGTAGAAAACTTCACTTGCCTAAACGAGAATAATCCAGGACAGGGTTGGATCTCAGGGGTAGGACACATGCCTCTCCTGTGTGAGACGACTGCCCCCCCCGCCCCCCCCAGCACTGAAAAATGAATAAGAAAATGCACAAATAAGTAGGGACTAGGGAGATGGTTCGGTGGGCTGGAGCACTTGCTTAGCATGCAGGAGCCTCAGGGTCAGTGCCGGCACCATAAAGTCCCCCGAGCACTGCACAAGGGAGAGGACTCCTCCTATTGTAGAATTCATTCCCTAACTTAATTACTTGTGTAAATTTGATTGCCAACCTCTCTAAAGCACGACTTAGACTGTGTGGAAAATAATTTTAACTAGCTTCTGAAAAACACATCAGGAGGTGTGAGAGATTCTTACAGTTTTTCTATGGCAGCTTGTCACAGCAGTTGCTTTAAAGAAATTTGAATATTGCTCTTGCCATAATTAATCCATCTGACTTTCTTGGCAGAGTATGTGAGAGCTGTGGGCTCTGGAGCATGACGGAAGCCAATCTGTCGCTTGTTACCCCAAATTTGATGAGAGCTGCAAAGACCTTTGAATTCTAGCTCCAGTTGCAGTGCATTATTTTTACTGAGTTGACTCGCTCACGCTGTCCATTGTCCTGTTCTTTGGAATGATGTAGTACAGAGACAAGCTTTGAAACTCTTTGCTTTCTTGATTGCAGGTCCGCAGTTTGCTGAAGACCCGTCCCAGTTACCTTCGACCCAGTTGCCATCCTCCCCTTTTGGTGATTATCGGCAGTATCAGTAGGACTTCTTACCCAGGATCCTGTGACAGGATGAGCTGTAGTTCAAGGGATTCCGGAAGATTGAGTTAGTGTGTTTTAAAAACATTGACGGGACAACTACGGGCAAACAGGCAATGAAGAGACATTCAACAGTTTTCTATTTAATGAAACATGAATAGAGTGTGTAAAAAATTGTTCATTTATTTATTCACACTTGTGTTGCCTTTGTGATCAAAATAAAGGTCTAATATCTTGAAAATTAAGTATGCTAAAGTGCTTAGGAATTGAAGGACCTGAGGGCTAACAGCAGTGAGATTCAGGCTGTTGTTTCATTGGACACTTCTCACCCAGTTGTGTGTGTCCTGTTAGTCAAACAATAGAGCAAGCTCCTGGGACTGGCTTTTTTTTTTCTTCTTTTTGGGTCACACCCGGCGATGTACAGGAGTTACTCCTGGTTCATGCACTCACATTACTCCTGGTGGTGCTCAGGGGACCATATGGGATGCTGGGACTCGAACCTAGGTCGGCTGCGTGCAAGGCAAATGCCCTACTCGCTGTGCTATTGCTCCAGCCCTGGCTCTTTCTTTTAAGACAAGTTATAGAGTTCTACTTTTCATCCTTGACTACTTAAGATCGTGCTTAGTTCACTGAAGGTTCCTGCATATCGGTGGTAAATTATGAGATGAATTGTGCTATGCACAGTGATGTTGTATGTATTGGATACTATGATGAAATACTTTTACTTTGAAAATCAAATATGCTTTGATTTTCTTGGTCTTGAGGTTGGCAGATTGAAAAAAAAGAACACTTTCTACTTTTGATGCACCCTTGTCTGATCTATCCAATTCTGAGAAGGATTTGTGGAGGGAGGGGATCACTGGGGAAGCTTGGTTTTATGTGTGCTTGAAAATAAAATATATTCTGTTTTTGGTGTGTTCTAAGTTGCCAAAGCAGATCTACAAAAAGGGTATGATTTGGGGTCTGATTGGTAGGGTCTGTAAAGTGGGGTTTTTTTTCCCCCCAAGAAAAGTCCATTTCAATACGTTTATTAGAAAGGACATGTGATCTTACAGAAGACCTGATGTTAATTATTCTTTCATTGTGTGTATATACATTATCACATGTCTACATGTGAAATGAGAGTGAATATATGTAGGGGAAGTGAGAACCTGGTATCTAGCATTTTTCTCAATGCCATAAGCATTTGATTACAAGTTATGGCTTAATCTTTGGTGTAGGTAAAATATACATAAGATTTTTAACCATTTTACATGTACAATCCGGTGCTTTTAAATAGAGTAAATGCAGGGGCTGGAGGTAGAGCAGGTAGGGTATTTGCCTTGCATATGGCCAACCTGAGTTTGATCCCTGGCATTCCATCTGGTCCCCTGAGCACTGTCAGGAGTAATTCCTGAGCACAGAGCCAAGAGTAACCCCTGAGCATTGCAGGGTTGGGATGTGGCTCAAAAAAAACCCCAAAATAAAAATAAATGGATCGAAATGGTCACTATTACTTGTAAACCCCAAACATGCATATAATATAAACTCCACCCAGTGCCCATACACCCTCATAAACCACAATTCTGTCTCTGAGTTTGCTTGTTCCAGGTACATGCACCATATAACTAAGTCACAATATTTCTTCCTATTTCCTTTTTTCATTTGGTGTGATCCTTAAGAACCATCTGTGGAAGCATATTTTTGGATGACTCATTTTCCAGTGTATGTAGAACCCACGTTTTGTTTACCGTTCATCTGCTGATAGACATTTAGATTGCTTGCTTTCAACTCTTCTGAGTAATTTTGTTGTGACACTGGTGTACCAGTATCTGAGCTCCTGCTTTACTTCTTTGCAGTATCAGAAGTCTTCATTTTTTCTGAGGAACCCCCGAACTTCCATAAGTGCTTGTGGCATCTTGTTATTACTCAAAAAATGTTGATATAACAAAGAATGCCAAGGATTTCATGGCTAATGAATATTGTACTTAAGTCTAGGCAGTTAAGTCTGTGACTCTTTGACTCTCAGTTAGTGATACAATGAAATAAGTAAGTAAATGTCAGAAGAGCAGTTTAAAGCTGAAATCCTGTTGAATTGCACAGAATGTGATTTACTTTTTTTCTGGAGTGGGGGTCTGTTTGGGTCACACCTTTAGTGCATAGAACTTAATCCTGGCTCTGCTCAGAGATCACTTCTGGCCTGCATGGGTTGACCATAGAAGGTGGTGGGGCACGTGCCCTACCCTCTGTATGATCTCTCTGGCCCTAGGATTTACCTTTCTATGTGCTCCAACATACCTTCTCTTTGATAGTGTGTTTTGAAAGGAATTTTTTTTTAAGATGCTTATTCTTTGAGATATCTGTGTGATGCTGGTATATCTGAAGCAATCCTTGGTTAGGAATAAATTTTTAGAATTAGAATTAGGGATAAGAAAAGTTTGACAATGTGGACATCCCTCAAAAACCTAGAAATTGAGCTCCCATCTGACCCAGCAATGCCACTTCTGGGAATTTATCCTGGCGGCCCAAAAACACACAGCAGAAACACCATCTGCACTCCTATGTTCAATGCAGCACTATTCCAGCCAGAAACTGGAAACAACCTGAGTGCCCAAGAACAGACGAATGGATAAAGAAACTATGGTACATCTACACAATGGAATACTATGCAGCGGTTAGGAAAAATGAACAATGGTAGTTGTTATTGTAATAAAGTATGACAATAATAGTTGGAAATGATCACACTGGACAAGAACTGAGTGTTGAAAGTAGGTAATGGGACATATACGACAACCTTTCAGTAACTATTGCAAACCACAGTGCCCAAAAGGAGAAGGAGAGAGAGAATTGTCTGCCAGAGAGACAGACTGGGGGTGAGGTGGGGTGGCGGTAATGGGAAGGAAATTGGAGACACTGATGCTGGGAAATGTACACTGGTGGAGGGATGGGTGTTGGAACACTGCCACTGTCACTGTCCTCCCGTTGTTCATCGATTTGCTCGAGCGGCCCCAGTAACGTCTCCATTTTTTGAGACTTGTTACTGTGTTTGACATATTGAATACGTCATGGGTAGCTTGCCAGGCTTTACTGCGCGGGCGAGATACTTGGTAGCTTGCTGGTCTCTCCGAGAGGGGCAGAGGAATCGAACCCGGCTCGGCCGGGCTGGCTGCGCGCAAGGCAAACACCCTACCGCTGTGCTATAACTGAAACAATCATGAACAGCTTTGTAAGGGTCTATCAGTGACTCAATAAAAAATAAGGGGAAATGTTTCAACACACATCCCTTTAGTGCTCATTTCCATTGTCCCCCGTTTCCCTCCTGCTCCCCACCCCCCCCCACACAGTCTACCTCTATATGGCAGACTTTCTCCCCCACCCCGCCCTCAAGCCTTCCCCCCCCCCCCATTTTTCTTTTGGGCACTATGGTTTGTAAAATACTGTTATTGAAAGGATATCATGTATATCACCTTCCTTCCTTTGGGCACTCGGTTTTTGTCCAGAGTGACCATTTCCTGTTGTCACAGTGGTCCCTTCTCTATCCTAACTGTACTCCCTTCCCCTTGGCAAGCTTCCTACCATCCATCAGTCCTCCTGGCCTTTGTTTCTACTGTATTTGGGTAGTTTTGCATACTGTTTGCTTTCTCAGAGCTTTTCTTTTCTTTTGAATACCCCGCAAATGAGCCCCATCATTCTGTTTGCCCTCTCCCTCTGGCTCATTTCACTCAGCATGATACTCTTCATGTCCCAAAGGTGACATTTCTTTGCGGGGGAGGGTAAAGTGAAGAGTAAGTTTTTTTCATGTGAGCACTTTTTAAATATATATTTAAAAATTCAGTTGCAGGGGCTGGAGCGATAGCACAGCGGGTAGGGTGTTTGCCTTGCACGCAGCTGACCCGGGTTCGATTCCCAGCATCCTGTGTGGTCCCTCGAACACCACCAGGAGTAATTCCTGAGCGCAGAGCCAGGAGTGACCCCTGTGCACTGCCGGGTGTGACCCAGAAAGCAAAAATAAATAAATTCAGTTGCATATATTTACTACACATATAAATTCAGTCCTCCATTTTATGAGTTATAGTTGACATATAACATCATATAGAATAACGCTTACATTAAGGATAAGATAAACTAGTGATTTGTATATATTGTAAATGATTATTAAATAGTTATGCTCCATCAAGAAAAAAGAAGTTTAAAAAAGATGGGAGGGGCTGGAGCCATAGCACAGTGGATAGGACGTTTGCCTTGCACGCTGCTGACCTGGGTTCGATTCCCAGCATCCCATATGGCCTCCTGAGCACCACCAGGAGTAATTCCTAAGTGCATGTGCCAGGAGTAACCCCTGTGCATTGCCAGGTGTGACCCAAAAAGCAAAAAATAAAAAAGATGGGAGTTTTTTTTTTTTTTTTTAACCCTATTTGGACCACACCCAGCGCACTCAGCTTAATTCTGACTCTGAGCTCAGGGATCACTCCTGGTGCTGCTGTGGGGACCATATTGGGTACTGGGATTGAACTCGAGTCAGCCCTACCTAACTACTTGCAAGGCAACTGCCCCACCTACTGTACCATCTCTGTCTTGCCATCTGCAGGACAGCAGCTGTAAGCCTTACACAGAGATCTCTGGTTGCATTTCCCTTGGCTCACTGCTTCTCGAGCTGGATGTGGTATCTCCGTGGCTGGAGGCTGGTAGAGGCCATCCTCTCCGGGAAAGCACCACCCAGACTGCAGGCTTGAAGGCAGAGCTTCCAACATCCCTGAGGGGTGCCATTGCAGATCCAGGAGGGGAAACAAACGATTCCCTTAGCTTGAAACCTTGAAAACTACCTGGCAGAGGCCTTTTAACAACCGCAGGAGCTTTGGCATGGCTGTGCCCCTGTTTTGCTTCTGGCCCATTTTTCTTGGTGGTTTTTCTTTTTTCTTTTTCTTTTGTGAAACAAGGTAGATTTTTTTAAAGTTGAAACTTAGTTGTGAGAGGAGAGATAGCTGTTGGAGGGAGACCTTGAATTTGAAGAGCAAGCATGACTCATTGCTAATCTCCCAAAACCCAGTTTAGGCTCCAAGGATTTGCCTGTAGGTAAACCCATATGCCTTTCCAGGTTTATGGGTTTGCCTGTACATAAAACTATACAGGTTTATGGGTTTGCCTGTTCATAAGCCTATATAGTTTATGGGTCTGCCTTTATACAAGCCTATGTAAGTTTAGAGTTTTACACCAGACCAGGTCTTGCCCTGCCCCTACATTAGCATGGTGGGAAGAGATAGTCAGGAATTCTTTTTTTTTTCTCTTTCTTTCTCTCTGCTCTTTTTTCCCTAAAGAGTACCAAACCTGTAAAGATAAATTTTATTTTATATATTTTTTCAAAACTTGAAGGGATCGGAAAATACAGAGATTAAGCCACTGACCAACCCATGTAGGAGACCCAGATTACAACTCCAGCAACACACAGTCCTCAAACCCCGCCAGGAGTGACTTATGTTCACAGACCAGGAGTAAGTCCTGAGCACCATTGGGTGTAGCCAAAAAGCATTTGGGGGCCACATTCAGGATTCTAAGGCTACTCCCACCACAGTGCTCAGGGCTTATGTGGTGCCAGGTATCAAACCTGGGACTCCTGCATACCACGCATGTGTTCCAGTCCTTTGAATTATCTCCCTGACCCATAAAATGTTCTCTCTGCTTTTGAACAGGTATGTGTATCTCATTTTTGCATCATACCCAGGATGCTCAGAGGTACTCATGGCCCTGTGCTTGGGGGTCACACCTTCCAGTGGTAAGAGGATCATGCAGTTTCCAAGCCTGAACCTGAGCCTCCTGCATGCCAAGCCTGCACTCTGCTCTGCCAGGAGTTATACTAAATTCTCCAGCAGTTTAGCTTTGGAGCCACCCCTGTGCTTGGGGCAGTTCCATACTCAGTGGTCAGGGAGCTCTCTGTCATGCTGGGACTCAAACCCAGACTCCTGCATGCAAAACTCATGGTCCAGCCCACTGAGCCATCTCTGACCCCTGCTTATTTTTATAATGTTGGAGGTTTTGTTTGGGGGCCACACCCAGCCATGCTCAAGGCTTTACTCTTGGCTCTGTGCTCAGGGATGGTCTCTGGCAGGGTTGCCAGGGATCAAACTCAGGTTGGCCACATGCAAGGCAAGTACCTTACTCCCCTGGACTACCTCTCCAGTCCCGAATTTGGTTTTGAGGCCACATCTGGCTGGTTCTTTGCTCAGGGATTACTCCTGACAGGGCTTGGGACATGTGGGGTGCCAGGGATCAAACATAGGTGGGTCCTATGTGAGGCTAGCGCTCTACCCACTGTACTTTCTAGCCCCTATTTATTTTATAATAGATAAACACCCAGCAGTGCTCAGAGACCCAAAGCTGTCCTGGCAGGGCTTGGTCCTGTGAAGAACCACAGTGCTGAGGGTCACCAGGCTGAGTGCTCTGGGTCACCAGGACCTCATGTGGCAGTGCTTGGCAGACCATGAAATTCAAGGACTGAACTCATGGCATATGCACGTTCCCACTTGCTTGTCTCCCTATAGCTGAGTTTGTAGTGTACACACATGTGCCATCACTTGGATCTCACTATTAGCTTGTTACAGTGTTTGCCTGATCATTTATCTATCTCCACCTCGTTCGGGTTAGCAGATAATAGAAAACTGGTTGCTTATTCATGTATGTTCTTCAAGTACTGATTTGAGGGGCCAGGGAGTTGGCTCTGCACATGGGAGCCCTTGGCGTGACCCTGAGCACCAGCAGCTGGATACTGAACTAGGAGTAGTCTCTCTATTTGGGTGTGGCACAAAACCAAAGCCAACAAAAATAATGGCTTGAAATGTTTAATGAACACCCTAAAATTAACTAGAACCCAGTATTCAAGGTGTCACCGCAAGCAGGCAGATTTCCCCTTGGCTGTACCTGAAAGAAAGCAACTCGTCCCTTGGTTTCCAATAGGAAACACCTACCAGAAAGTCCCATCTACTTGTCCCTTTTTCCCTTAGTGTCTGACAGTTTGTGTGAAACTGGCACGTGAGCGTGAAACATCTAAGCAGATTGGGAAGGTCCAGCTTCATTTGCTGTTGAAAGAGCCGCTCGCTGTTCCCTTGTGCTGGCACGGGTGCGAGAGACAGAGCATGCTCATAGCTCCACCCGGTGGTTGAAGGTGGTGCTCTTTTTAGATTCAGTTCTCTTAATCCTGAGAGATCAGGGGTTGCAAGCACACCCGCCCTGGTCTGTTTTGGTTGGTAGCCTATCAGAACTTAGTCACATCTTGATACACATGTTCCCTGGGGCAGCTTGTCACAAGGAGGGCAGAAATGGTTGTTACAGATTGACCTGCCACCAAATGCAGGAGATGCATGATTGAATTTCAGTAGGGACTGAAGCAGAATTTTGAGAACAGAAACCACATTTTATAATAGATTAATAGTTGTTAACTGAATGGATACATAATAGGAGATGTGTTCATATGTAAGTTAAAGGTCTAAAGTTGCTTTTGTGGGGGGTTGGTTTTTTGGCCCAGTGATGCTCGGGGGCTTACTCCTAACTCTGCTCTCAGGAATCACTCCTGGTGGGGCTTGGGGTACCATGTGAGGTGCCAGGGATCCAACCTGGGTCAGCTATATGCAAGGCAAATGCTCTACCCATTGTACTATTGCTCTGGCCTCAGGTCTACAACTTCTTCGAGGCATGGTAACATAATGAAAGATACATGTTCCTTCCTACATCCCAAAACATTCCTCCTGCTATAATGAGGAATACCTCAGATCATGAACAGCCTCGGGTATGTCAGTGTTCAAAGCTCTTCCTCTGGTCCACGGCTCCATTTTTATTTTTATTATTTATTTATTTATTTATTTACTTTTTGGGTCACACCCAGCGATGCTCCGGGGTTGGTTACTCCTGGCTCTGCACTCAGGAATTACTCCTGGTGGTGCTTGGGGGACCATATGGGATGCCCAAGTCAGCTGTGTGCAAGGCAAATACACTACCTGCTGTTCTATTGCTCCAGCCCCTCTTTGCATCTTCAGTTTATCCTTTTGAGATAACATTAGATTTACAAAAAAAAAAGAAAAAGTTTTAAATAGAGTTCATCATCCAGCTTTCCCATATGTAACCATCTTATATAACCATAAACCAGCAAAATGAAGTCCTTTACATTGGTTACAGTAACTAAACGGTAGACTTTAGTTGTATCATCAAGATTTCTTGTTTTGAGTTATACCCAGTGATGTCCAGGCTCTGCACTCAGAAATCACTCCTGATGGTGCTTGGGGAACCATATGAGATGCTGGAAATCAACCCTGGTCGGCCATGTGCAAGGCAAGCACCCTCCCTGCTGTATCCCTCCAGCCCCCTGCCTACTTTTAAGTACTCTTCTTAGCTGATGGACAAAAATATCACACTGGGTCGCTCCTATACTGCCTACCTAGCTCCCACTCACTGGCACAGAGGAGAAATGCAGAGAAGGAAGAAAACAGTGGCTTGGTGGCTTGCTCTATGTGGGAGGGCCTGACGGTCCCCACTGCATGCCTGGGGCCCACAAGGCGCCTGGGTCCAGTGTGACATTCTCTGCCGTTTGACACGTCACCTGATTTCCTCCTTACAGTTCCCTCATGAGCTGGGCATTATTATGCCTATTTTACAGAAGCAGACACCCCAAGGGATATGTCTCTCTTGGGGCAAGTTGCCACCGTGACATCCAGTCCTTCCTTGGAAGGAGTGGAGCCACAGAGTGTAGCCTGTGGGGTCCTCTAGAGGATGAACGTGGGGACAGGGAGTACCAAACCAAACCAGCCCTCTGACCTCTTTCAGGAAGTGGTCCCCCAAGAAAACGCCTCATTTAGCTTTCACATGCTGGGACGGTTCCTGCAGCAGTCTGGCCTCCCAGAGGCCCCTGTCCTGCTCTTCCTGCTCTTTCCCTAGAGTGAACTCAGACGCCCTATCCAGAGTGGCTCAGAGGACGCCTGCACCTTTCTGTCTCACACTCCTAGAACTGCCTCAACTATTCCTTTCCCAGTGGAGGCCCAAATTACTATTAATTTGGTTTTGGGGCCACACCTGGAGGTGCTCAGGACTTACTTCTGGCTCTGCACGTAGTGATCCCTCCTGGCAGGGCTTAGGGGACCACACTGGGTGCTGGGGATCCCACCCGGTCAGCTGCTTGCATGACAAGTACCTTACCTCTTATATTATCTGTGGCCTCCAAATTATTTTATGTACATCTCTTTTCACAATGTTCAGAACATTGTACTTACAACTCACTCCCTTCCCAGAACTCCTAGTACCTTGTTTTGCTCACCCTTCTCCCAGAATAATCTAATCTGCTGAGAGTAGATGAGACATGCAATTAAAAGCTTCCAACCAGACTTCCTTCTCTGAGAACTTCCCCCAGTCGGCCAGGGCAGGATACCTTTTCTCTTAAGAAACTTGCTTTGGGGGCTGGAGCAATAGCACATCGGGTAGGGTGTTTGCCTTGCACACGGCCGACCCGGGTTCAATTCCCAGCATCCCATATGGTCCCCCGAGCACTGCCAGGAGTAATTCCTGAGTGCAGAGCCAGAAGTAACCCCTGTGCATCGCTGGGTGTGACTCAAAAAGCAAAAAAAAAAAAAAAAAAAAAATCTTGCTTTGTCTTTAGACCAAGTCATAGCACACGGGGCAGGGTGTGGACCTTGCAGACTTGGGTTCCAAACCCAAGTTGGCATCCCATATGGTCCTCCTGAACCCACCAGAAATGATCCCTGCACACAGAGCCAGGAGTACGCCCTGAGAAAGCCTCCGGACCCAGAAAGAAGCTATCTTTGCAGGTGGCCAAATAGTCTGGCAGAGAGAGAGAGAGAGAACGGGACTGCATCATTTACGAGGGACCCAATTCGATCCCCGACCCAAATCCCTGCAGCTAGAAGAGCCAGGCCTGAACAGCCAGGCTGGTCCCAAAGCCAAGGAGCTCAGCGCCGCGCAGATATTCCTGCAGTCGGGTGGCAGGGCGGTCTTGGGGGCGGGGCTACATCGGGAGCGAGCCGGATCATATAGGGGGCGGAGCTACCCCGGAGGCGGGGCGGTGTGGGAAAAGAGCCATCACGGAGGCGGGGCTAGACGAAAGAGGAGGGGCGGGGAGATCTCGAGGGCGGGGCCCCTCCGCGAGGGGCGGGGCCTCCCTGAACGGAACGGGGCCCTTCCGCGCGGGGCGGGGCCTCCCTGAGCGGGGCGGGACCTCCCTGCGCACAGAGGGGCGGGGCCGCCCTGCGCGCCGCGGCGCCGGCCCGGCCGGCAGGTTATTCCGCTGCGAGCCATGGCGAGCGACGGGCCTGCGAGTTCCTCCCGCGCTACCTCCCGGCCGCTGCACTCGGCGCAGGCGGAGGACGTGGCGACGGCTTCGAGCTTCCGAGCTTTCGAGCTGCTGCACTTGCACCTGGACCTGCACGTGGAGTTCGGGCCGCCGGGGCCCGGCGCCGGGAGCCGTTGCCTGCGCGGCCGGGCCGTGATGGACCTGCGCTGCCTGATGCCCCTGGGCTCCTCTGAGCTCCGGCTAGACTCGCACCCATGCCTCGCGGTGACGGCCGCGGAGCTGCGGCGGTCGGGCGCCGAGGACCTGCCCTGGGAGCCGGTGCCCTTCCGCACGGAGCCCTTCGCGCGCTACGGCCAGGCCCTGTGCATGGACTTCCCGCAGCCCTGCGCCGCCCGCGAGCGCGTCCAGCTGCAGCTGACCTACACCGTCGGGGAGGGACCCGGGGTGAGTGCGCGGGGGTCTGGGCGCCCGGCGTCCCCGTCTGGCCAGCTGCTCGCGCCTTCGGACCCGCGTAGCCCCGGGCCTTGCACCTCTTAGCCCGCCCTCCTCCCCCCTGCCGCGCAGGGCCGGTCCTTCTCTCCACATCCCCCAGGCCTCCCGACCGCCAGCTGTTCCCAAGTGGAACCGAGATTGGCCCGGAGTTCCCGGTCCGTGGGGACCCCCGCCCTCTGCTCCCGCCGGCTGCCCCGGGCGCCCTCTCTGATGAGCCTGATGGGACTGGCCCTGTGTTCTGGCCGGCTTCGCCCGCAGCAGGTTGAAACAGCCCGGAAAACCTGATTGCTCTTGCTTTCCTGCTCTGAAGTCCCGGCCCTGATTGATGGTCGTAATCCGGGCGAACTCTCCTGCATCTCCACTTACCTTCTCTGTGTTGGTTAACTCAGAAATCTGACCATCTGGGGGGCGGGGGAGGCTCAGCCCAGGGGTCTCGGTCAGTCGTTGCTGGTTGCCTCCCAGACAGGATGTGGTACTGGGGGTCCCCATGTGTCCTCCCCCCCACCCAGGGCTGTGATGGACGCTGCTTCCAGGGCTGCCAGTTCTCCTTTTGCTCTTAGAACTGGTTTGAAGGGCCAGAATTAGTGACCCTTTGGGAACTTGTTTCAAAAGCGAAAGCTAGGCGGCCTGGGAGACAGCTCACAGGGCAGGACCTTACAGGGTGCCCCTCAGCCCCCAGCGCTGTCCAGAGTGACCCCTGAACACAGTCAGGTGGTGTGCCTGTGCAAAAGTGGGCGTGGTGACCAAACGAGTTTTTGGGTTGTTTTTTTTTTTTTTTAAGAATAGAGAGTTCAGAACCATGGAAAGGAATCCGACAAAAGGAAAGCACAGGGCTTGAGGGTTGACACAACAGCCTGTGAGTGGGTTTGGCTGCGGGTTTGGGGAAAGGAACTCCAAGTTGGCCAGGCAGCTGGAACAGTCCAGCCTCTCTGACTCTGTGCTAAAAGCAGCTGCTGACAGGAACAATGAACGCTGGATGCGCCCCTTGAAGACCAGGCAGGGCCTGGCTAGGTACAGATGCCCTTTGCACCTTGAAAGTTACCTGAGCACAGGTTCTGCCTTCCAGCACACCTGACCTTTGGTCTCTGTCCTGAGCTCTGCCTACTGCCCAGCTCCTTCACTTTTCCATCAGGTCATCAAAAAAAAAAAAAAATCAAAAGCAGACAAGAGTCCGAGAGATAGTACAGCAGGCACATTTCCCTTACACAAGGCAATCCGGGTTTGATCCTTGACATTACATATGTTCCCCCAGTACCCCTGGGGTGCTAGGAATAAGCCATGGGCACTGCTGGGTGTGGCCCCATAACCCAAAAAACGAAACAGAAACTCAGAGATGATGAGTAAGAAATTATGGAGGAGGGAATGGTGGCCAGTATTTAATAGGACCTGCCACTAGTTTCTGCCTGCAGAAGTGAAAAGAGTTATCTCTATGACTAGTATACATGTGTACACCTGCTACAGTGCCTGGAACCTCATGGGTGTTCTGTATTGGGTCTTATTGTCAATGCAGTAATTTTTGAAGGGGGAAACACCCAGCAATGCTTGGGGCTTACTCCTGGCCTTGCTCTCAGGGATCACTTCTGGTGGCCTCAGGGAACCATTTGGGGGTCAGAGGGAGGGCAATAGTACAGCAGGTAGCTTGTTTGCCTTGCACAAGACAGACTGTGGTTCCATCCGTGTTGCTGGGGATTGAACCTGGGACTTCACATGTAAGGCATGTGCTCTACCACTTGAAGTCTATCCCTACCCACTGTAGGATTTACTTTTCAAAAAAAGCAGCGGATGCACAGGAACACGGAACAGCCAGTACCACGTTCCTCCTGTAAGCCACAGAAGCATCCTTGGCTCCTTGGCACTTACAAGCTTGATACACTTGTCACAGTGAAGGGCCCCCTAGCTCTGCATTGCTCCTGACTAGTCCAGAGCCTTTTCCGGTTCCCTTTTCCAGGATCCCATACGGAAGCTGGCAGTGTGTTTGTTTAGTGTTCCCGGGAGGTGGTGCTCGCTGGGAGGTGCATTCCTGGCTGTGACGCTAACCCTCTTGTAGTTTTGGTCTCCTTGGGACTCGCACACTTGAGTTTCAGCTGTTGCCAGGGGTTGTGGCCCCCTGGCTCCCAAAGAGCAGAGTGGATACCGAATGCAGGGGCTTGGGCAGGGAGTGCAAGGCCCATGCCTGCAAGGCAGGAACGTTTGCTCCCGAGGCGTCTCTCCCAGGCCCAGGGGTTGTGTTATGGTGGTCCAGTGCTCTGGCCCCGCTGTGCACCAGCTCTGGAGCTGGCGGTCGTTCTAGGGAGGCCATGCGGTGCCAGGGATCGAACTCAGGGCCTCACGCGTACTCTCTCCCCTGGCAACCATCTCCCAGCCTCACTGGCTAGGCCATGTTAGTTTCAATTTGTTTTTGATTTATTTGTGGGGAGGGTATCCCCAGTGGTGTTCAGAGGTCATGTGGTCGGGGTCCTGGGAGTCAAAGGGGCCTGTGCACACCCTACTGCCTTCAATTTGTTTTGTTTTTGCTTTTTGGGTCACACCCGGCAATGCACAGGGGTTACTCCTGGCTCTGCACTCAGGAATTACTCCCGACAGTGATGGGGGACCATATGGGATGCTGGGAATCGAACCTGGGTCAGCCGCATGCAAGGCAAACGCCCTACCCTCTGTGCTATCACTCCAGCCCCCCTACTTCCTTTGAACCGTCTCTAGAGTCCAGGTAGAAATGGACTTTTTTTTTAGATGAGCTATTTTAGGCTCACAGCAGAATTGCATGGGAACTCAGGTAAAATCCATTTTGTGACAGCTGATTGAGGGCTCTTGTATTGACGTGCTGTGACTCCAGATGTTGGCCTGTGAGGTGGAGCTGTGGTTTTGTCCACTGAGCTGTCCTTCTGCCCCCACCCAACCCCCCCACCCCAGTTGTGTCACATTCTTGGGAAAAAGACTCATTTCATCTTGCAAACGCAAGTTTTGATTTTTTAATTTTTTTTTTTGCTTTTTGGGTCACACCCGGCGAAGCACAGGGGTTATTCCTGGCTCATGCACTCAGGAATTACTCCTGGCGGTGCTCGGGGGAACATATGGGATGCTGGGAATTGAACCCAAGTCGGTCAGCTGCATGCAAGGCAAACACCTTACCCGCTGTGCTATCGCTTCAGCCCCAACAAGTTTTGATTTTTAATTGTTTGTTTTGCTTTTGTTTTGTGTCATTCCTTTGGGCCACACCCCATGTGCTCAGAGCTTACTCCTGGCTCTGTGTTCAGGCCTCCTGGGAGGGCTTCAGAGACTGACTGACCATGCGCGGTTCCAGGGACTGAGCCCCGGCCAGCCACACTCAGGGCAAGTGCCTTAACCCCTGTCCCATCTCGCCAGCTCCTTTTTCTAAATTCTAAATGACCATCTGCTGACTTGCCCTGCTCCCCTCTGCACACTCCCATCCCTAGTTTTATGTCTGATTCTGCTGTACGAGAACATTTCGCTCTGGGCTGAAATGGAGTTTGTGGGCTAGAGAGATGGGTCAGTGGTGGAGTACGTGCTTTAAAAAGCAGGAGGCTTCGGGTTGATCCCTGGCACTGCCTGGTCCTGCAACCCCCAAGTACCACTGGTGCGTCCCCAAAAACAGAGAATTGGATTTGTAGTAAGTGTTTCTGACTTAGCTTTGATTGAGCTAATAGAGTGCAACAGAAAATTAAAGCTGAAGTCTCAGAGCCAGAGAGATAGAAAGTACAGTGGGTTGAACACTTGCCCTGCGTATGACCAAGCCGGGTTCAGTCCCCAGCATCTCATATGATTCTCTGAGCACCACCAGGAGTGATCCCTGAGCTAAGTCAGGAGTAAGCCCTGAGCGCCATCAGCGTGGCCCCAAAACAAAACTAAACAAAACCAAAAAAAAAAAAACTGGATGAACCCTAAAAAGATCCAAAAACCCAAAACTAATGCCTCCAAATAGAAAATACATTTATTCCGTAAGGGTGCATCTGGGGCTTGGAGAGCCTGGGGGCACCGCGGCTTCTCCCAGCTCTGATTCTGCTTTGCTGGGCCTGCGTTCCGGCTGTCTTCATGCCTGTTGATGAGACGTGCCTTTGGTGGGAACAGGAGAGAGGTCAGAGGCCAGCTGGGCGTTTTTTTTTTTTTTTCATGTAGGAGTACTGCTATTTATTCAGCCACTGATTAGCTGATTGAATTGTGCATGAACTCCACCTTCTTTTTTTTCCATTTTTTATAATTTTATTTATTTATTTTGCTTTTTTTGGGTCACACCTGGCGATGCACAGGGGTTACTCCTGGCTCCGCACTCAGGAGTTACTCGCGGCGCTCAGGGGACCATATGGGATGCTGGGAACTGAACCCCGGTCGGCCGCATGCAAGGCAAATGCCCTACCCGCTGTGCTATCTCTCCAGCCCCTATAATTTTATTTATTGAATCACTGTGAGAGCAGTTACAAAACTTTCGGGTCTAAGTCTCGGTCGTACAGTGAAACACCCATACCTTCACCAGTGCCCATTCTCCACCGCCAACAACCCCAGTATACCCCCATCCCACACCCTCCCCCTACCTGTAGGGCAGATGATTTCCATACTACTCTCTCTCTACTTTGATCACATTCACTATTTTGACACCAGACCCACCATTATTATTTGAGATTTTACCCCAAGACTCAGATCTGCTGAAAAGGCAACAGTAGACGATTTGTTTTCTATTGCTGGTTATGAATAACATATGATGTCGCGTGGCTGCAATAGTGGCCGAGCGATTTTGAAATTCCGAAATTTTAACACTTAAATCTGGAGGGATTTCTGCCAAAACCTGCTGGGTTCTGAGATTTGCTCCTGAGTCTTTGGGATCATGGCTGTTAAGCAGCTTGATCATGAGCCAGAAAGGCCGTTCGTGGGTGATGACTTGGGGTCTTGTTGGGGTGGGGAGGATAGGACCGGCTCCACCCCCATCCCATGAGGCCCTGCATGTCTCGTCCCTGCGGGCCCAAACCTGACTGTCCAATGGCCTCTGGAGGATGACGGCCACCGAGCCGCCAGGCGAAAGCAGGCAGAGGGACAACACCCTTTCCCCCTGGGGTGGCCCAGCGACAGTAACCTACTGCATGGTTCCGGACGCATTTCTGCCAAAAGCCGCTGGGTTTCGAGATTTGTTTCTGAGTCTCTGGGATCATGGCCGTTAAGCAGCTTGATCAGGAGCCAGAGAGGCTGTTTGTGGGTGATGACTTGAGGTCTCGCTGGGGTGGGGAGGAAAGGACCGGCTCCACCCCCATCCCGTGAGGCCCAACATGTCTCGTCACTGCGGACTTAAACGTAACTGTCCAGTGGCCTCTGGAGGATCAGCTGGGCTGTTTTGAGACGTGCAGAGACATGCAGGAGGCTACAGTGAGGAAGGACCCTGCGGGGGAGGGGGGGCGGGAAGGAGTGGTCAGCCCTGAGAAGGGGGCAGGGGTCTAATGCCCAGAAGCGCAGCCGGCAGGGGCAGGCACGCGTGGACTGCCTGAAACCCTCCTCCCACGCTCGCTAGCCATTTCCCCCCTGCTTGGGTCGGGGAGGGGTGCAGGGTGTGAGCTCTGCACTGTCCTGCCCTTCCCTTAGGTTTGCTGGCTGACTCCCGAGCAGACGGCGGGAAAGAAGAAGCCCTTCGTGTACACGCAGGGTCAGGCTGTTCTGAACCGGGCCTTCTTCCCCTGCTTCGACACCCCGGCAATGAAGTTCACATACTCGGCTCAGGTCCAGGTGAGCGTGCCGCGGCTCGGAAACTGGGTTTGTGCTGACGCCCAGCCGCCACATGGGCGTGCCACTCCCCTCGTCTGGCCTAGGTTCAGCTCCTGGAAATGTCTTTGCTTCCCAAGAGGGAGTCAGGTCTCCGTGTCACCATGGGCAGGCGGGAAGGCTGCTTGCCGCCCCCTGGGGCCATGGTCCCAGCTCGCTCCATCGCTCTCTGTTGCCAGGTCCCCGAGGGCTTCACCGCTGTGATGAGTGCCGATACCTGGGAGACGAAAGGGCCCGGCAAGTTCTTCTTCCAGATGAGCCGGCCCATCCCCTCCTACCTGATAGCCTTGGCCGTCGGAGACCTGGTTTCGGCGGAAGTTGGGCCCAGGTAGGAGATAGCCCATTGCCAAGGTTGACTCTGGCTTTGCAGCCGGCCGGAGGCCTCTGACCGTTACCTGCTGCTGTGGTTCTGAGGCAGCTGAGCAGAGACATACACAGCAGGATGGAGTGGGCGGAGCTCATGTTTTTTCTCCCTCTCTTTCTCCCCCTCTCCCTCTCTCTCCTCCTTCTCTCTCTCTCTTTCTTTTCCTCTCTGTCCCTCTCTTTCCCTTTCTTTTTTTTTGGGGTGAGGGGTCACACCCAGCGATGCTCAGGGGTTGCTCCTGGCTCTGCACTCAGGAATTACTCCTAGCGGTGCTCAGGGAACCATATGGGATGCTGGGAATCGAACCTGGTTCGGCCACGTGCAAGGCAAACGCCCTACCCGCTGTGCTATTACTCCAGCCCCTCTTTCCCTTTCTCTCCCCACTTCTCTTCCCCCTCTGGCCCCTCTCTCTGCTTCCCTCCAGCATCACTAGCACAGTAGCAGCTGCTGTGGCCCAGCTGTCACTTAGCCTAGGACTGAGATTCGAGCTCAGGCACCAACTTGAGAAGCTGACCTTTTGGTTGGTTTTTGTTTTTGTTTTGTTTTGTTTTGGGGGCCACACCTGGCAGTGCTCAGGGCTTACTCCTGGCTTGGCATCTTGCCTGGCAGGGACGGGAGGCCCCTGGGGGGTGTCAGGGATGGAATCCAGGGTGACCAGGTGCAAGGCCAGCAAGCGTCTCCCGGCTGTGCTGGCTCCCAGGCCTGGAAGGTGGAGCAGGCAGCGCTTGATTGGTCTCTCCAAGTTCCAAATCTCCTTCTGGCCATAAGCTCGCATAGCGAAACTGTTTGCACCCCATCTCCCCAGGACTGCTTAATTCCTCTAAGCAACTTTGCCCTCACTGTTTTGCCCCAGAAGGAGTAGAAGTTCCTGTTTGCTTTCCTCCAGGTGCAGAAACCTGAACCTCAGTGGCAGAGAGAGACCCCGTGGCTGGGGCTCGTGCAGCTCTGAGGGACTGGCAGGGTGTCTGGCACGGGAGCTTGGTCAGGAGTGCCACTGTCCCTTGCCTGGTAATGCCATTTCCATCCTGAAGGGCAGGCGGGAGCAAAGGTCAGAGCCACCTCACCCAGGCCCCCACCCTTTCTTCTTTCCTTGGCAGCTGCATTTCCCGCCTCAGAGCCCCCCTCAGCCCAGTGCAGGGCTCTGTCTACGTCCGGGGTCAGAGGGAAGGAGAGAGGACCCATGCCCCCACCCCCGGGCCCTCCTACTCTAAGCACTGCCAGCCTCGGAAGACAAGGCAGCCTCCTTCCAGCAGGGTGTCCAATGGACAGTGGAGTGGGGGGAGGTCAGTGCCCCCAGAATGCCAACCTGGCAGTGGGCGGGAAGACAAGTGAAAAGGAAGGGGCTGGAGCGATAGCACAGCGGGCAGGGCGTTTGCCTTGCACACAGCCGACCCGGGTTCAATACCAGCATCCCATACGGTCCCCTGAGCACCACCAGGAGAGATTCCTGAGTGCAGAGCCAGGAGTAACCCCTGTGCATCGCTGGGTGTGATCCAAAAAGCAAAAGCAAAAAAGAAGACAGGTGAGAAGGAATGCATCACATGCATCACTGAGTGTTCGCTCTCCTAAGGCTGGGTTTGGAATTGCAGCGGGAAGGCAGACAACGGTCACTTCTAAACACACTGGGCACTGGTGATTTGTTTTGCTTTTGCTTTTGGTTTGGGGCTGTACCCAGTGGCGCTCGGGGTTTACTCCTGGCTCTGCGTTCAGGAGTGACCCCTGACAGTGTTCACAGGACCAGATGTGGTGCTGGGGATCGAACCTGGGTCAGCCTCAGGCAAGGCAAGTAGCCAGACCCCTGTCGTGTCTCTCTCTGGCCCCTGGACACTGCTGATTTATTTTAAAATTAGCTCCATGATCAAATGACAGCACCGGAGGTGACGATGCCATTTGACCAGGGAGGAGGCGCCGCAGCCCTCCACCCAGGACAGTCCCCCCATCCTAAGCTCTTATGGGGGCGTATTAGAGAGGAGGGTCTGCGGCCCCTGTTGCAGGGAGGCAGGGGCTTGGCAGAGGTGTTCTAGCAGAGAGAGATGCCTCACCGTTGGCTCCCTTTTGGGCCAAGCCTCTCCCTTACACGGTGCCAGCATCACGGGGCCACCTGCAGGCAGGCCAACGGGCAGTGATGGAGTGGCTGGTGCCTGCCCCCGGCTGGCTGGCAGGGGCTGGGATTTGAATCCAAGTGTTTCTGTTGCTCTCCTCGGCTGTGGACACAAGACACAGGTGGAGACCCTGATGGCGTGCCACGGGCTGCCATGTTCTCTCTTTCTCTGAGGAGGCTGAGGCTCCCCGGCTCGGTACCCTCTGGCATTGGCACTGCACTCCTGCAGGGGTGCCCCGTGACCTGGCGTGGTTGCTGGGCGGGTGCGCCCCTTCCCTTCACTGTGCGTCCCCGCCCTTCCTTCCAGGAGCCGCGTGTGGGCCGAGCCCTGCCTGATCCAGGCTGCCAAGGACGAGTATGACGGGGTGATTGAAGAGTTTCTGGCAGCCGGAGAGAAGCTTTTCGGACCCTACGTGTGGGGACGGTGAGGTGTCGCCCCCCAGAAGTGGAGCCGAGAAGGAAGGTGGCAGGCAGGGGGCAGGCAGGCCTTGTTCACAGTCACTGAGGGGGGACCCGGGAGAGGGGAGCCCCCGCCATGGGATCAGAGGCGCCCAGAAGCAGCTGCACTTGGAGATGGGACCTCACACCCCTTTGTCACCCACTCTCCCTGTCACCCCACGCCCCCGCCACCCCCACATCCCCCACATCCACTGCCACCCCATCACCCCACACCCCCTGTCGCCCAGCTCCCCTGGTCCCTTTCATGTTCGCAGACCTCAGGTTCCTTGGTGGTTCTCTGCCCAGCCCTTCCGGTCCCTGACAACGGCTCCCATTGAGCTCTCTCCCCGCTCCATGGCGGGGAGCTGACAGGCCCCCCAGGTCCTGCCCAGCAGAGTGGGAGTTGGGGGTTCGAGAGAGGAAGGGCCTCACGGGGCCAGGTCCCGCAGGGGAGGGGAGCCTGGCTTCTGGCTGAGCCCCTCCCCCCTTTCTTGGCAGGTATGACGTGCTCTTCATGCCACCGTCCTTCCCATTTGGAGGGATGGAGAACCCTTGTCTGACCTTTGTCACCCCCTGCCTGCTGGCGGGGGACCGCTCCTTGGCCGACGTCATTATCCACGAAATCTCCCACAGCTGGTTTGGGAACCTGGTCACCAATGCCAATTGGAGCGAGTTCTGGCTGAACGAGGGCTTCACCATGTATGCCCAGAGGAGAATCTCCACCACCCTCTTCGGTGAGTCACGTGTGCCACTCTGGCCTGGGCCTCCCCCCCACCCCGCCCGAGCCTGGCTGTGCCCAGGGTGCTTCAGCAGGGAGGTGTACGGAGGGAAGGGGCGTCCTTGGCAACAACAGCATCTCCAGAGCACCAGGCTTGGCCTTAAGACTATGTTTTGCCTATTCCTAACTCAGAAAGGCCACCAAAGGCCAGATAGCGCAGGGGTCACAGCACTGGGCTGGCATCCCTGGCCCCACTTGAGTCCCTAGTACCATGTATAGACCCTTGACGGCCTTGAGTGACCAGGATCACTCCTGAGCAGAGAGTAAGGAACAGCCCCTGAACATTGCTGAGGTATGGCCCCAAAGCAATAACCAAACAGGCCATGGAGACCGTCATGAGGCCCAGTTCCGTATCACTGCGCCCAGTGAATGAGCAGGGCTTGGGCCCAGAGGGTCTCAGGAAAGGCGTGTGGACGGAATGAGCCAGTCGGGCAACTCAGTGTGACAGACCCTCTCTGGCCCTTCACTCGGCTCCCACATGGCTGCATGCTACCAGATGCCTTAAGGAAGAGCCTCACTGAACTGTGTCTCGGCATCCCAGGGAGTCAGGCAGGGTTGGCCCCTTCTGTCCTGTTCTGTACCATGTCCCTGTAACTTTGTAAGAGGAGGGTTCAGGCCCCTGTGCAAAGCAGCCCAGAACTTTTTATTTTTTTAATGTGGGAGTATTGCTATTTATTCAGCCATTGACTAGGCTGATTGAATTGGGCATGAACTCCACCTTACTTTTTTTTTTCCCCTTTTTATAAATTTATTGAATCACCATGAGAGCAGTTACAAAGCTTTCAGGTTTAAGTCTCGGTCATACAATGATGGAACACCCGTCCCTTCACCAGTGCCCATTCTCCACCACCAAAAACCCCAGAAGATTTCCACATTACTCTCTCTCTACTTTGATTACATTGAATATTGCGACACCAGACCCACCATTATTATTTGGGATTTTGCCCCAACACTCAGATCTGCTGAAAAGGCAACCGTAGACAATTTGTTTTCTATTGCTGGTTATGAATAACATATGATGTTGCACAGCCTCAGTAGGGGCCATGCAATTTTGGAATTCCAAAATTTTAATAATTAAATCTGGAGGGATTTCTGCCAAAACCTGCTGGGTTCTGAGATTTGTTCCTTAGTCTCTGGGATCATGGCCATTAAGCAGCTTGATCAGGAGCCAGAAAGGCTGTTCGTGGGTGGCGACTCAGGATCTCACTGGGGTGGGGAGGAAAGGGCCAGCTCCACCCCCATCCCGTGAGGCCCTGCGTGTCTCATCAGTGCGGGCCCAAACCTGATTGTCCAGTGGCCTCTGGAGGATGGCAGCCTCTGAGCTACCAGGGGGAACAGGCCAAGGCACAAAACCTATTCCCATCTGGGGTGGCCCAGCGCCGGTAACCTACTGCGGGGACTGGATGCATTTCTGCCAAAAGCTCCAGCCCAGAATTTTGACCTGTGCCCTGCTCTGCTTTTAAAATACATTCCCCCCCCAAAAAAAAAAACAATAATAATAAAATACATTCCCAGCATTGTCATTATTGATGACCCGCAGTATAGCAGGTGTTTTAAGAAATATTTTTGGAGGGGCCACAGCGATAACACAGCAGGTAGGACATTTGCCTTGCACACGGGCAATCCAAGTTCGGTCCCCGGCACCCCATAGGGTTCCCTAAGTGCAGAGCCAGGAGTTAGCCCTGAGCACAAAACATACAAAGATATATTTGGAAGGTGCAGGTGAGCAAATAGAGCATGTAGGGCACTTGCCTTTGATACCCAGTGCCACATATCGTCCCACCAGGAGTAAGCACTGAGCACGACCGGGTGTGACACCCCTCCAGAAACGAAAAACAAAAGTGCATGTCCAATTTAAAGATATGCAATAGATCAGAGAGATAGGACAGGGCTTGCCTTACATGCTGCTGATCCTAGTTTGATCTCCAGCATCCCTGAGCACCTCTAGGAGTGATCCCCGAACACAGAGACTAGAGTAAAGCCTGAGCACCACTGGGTGTGGGCCCAAATGAAAACATGCATATGTATGTATAATATTTAGCCCCCTCCCCCTCTCCCAATTTGGATCCTGGCACTGCATGTGGTCCCCTGAGCACTGCCAGGGACCCTTCCTGATGACAGAGCCAGGAATAGTCTCTGAACATGGTTGGGATGTCCCATCTCCTATAATATTTGGGGCCTGGGCGAGACTCCAGGGGCTGGAGTGCTTGTCTGGCATGCAGAGGCCCCTGGTTCCATTCCTGGCACCACCTGGTCCCCTGAACCCTGCTTGGCAGGTTAAAAAAAAAAAAAGACATTGATGAGGAAAGTCGGTGTCAGAGGGAGATGAGCGATTCCCCCTGTCTGTGTGTGTGGATGAGACAGGCCCCCTCGGTACCCAGCACCCCTGGGCTGAGTCCCCTGTCTCGCATGAAAGCCATGTGGCAGCGTTCTTCCCCCTGGCCACCAGGGTGCAGCACAGCCCCTTGTGTCGGGAGCACCCACCACCCTTGCTTTCTCCCTGCTGCAGGGGCGGCGTACACCTGCTTGGAAGCGGCCACAGGGCGGGCTCTGCTCCGGCAGCACATGGACGTCACAGGAGAGGAGCACCCACTCAACAAGCTCCGGGTGAAGATCGAACCAGGTCCAGGAGCGCCTCCACCCCAGACCCCTCCCTGGAAAACACAACTTGGGCCCCTGTCAGTGGGGTGATTGGCTGACCAGTGTCCATGGGCCTCTCCCCAGAGGGAGGCGCTGCCCTGAGCTCCTGGAGCCACTCCTGGCCCCTGGCCAGGGCCCTTCAGCCAGCCAGGGCATCTCTTGTTGACCATGTCCCATGGCTCTGCCTTTGGGTGGTTCTAGATCATTCTCAGCGAGCCCCTTGCCCTTTTTTGTTGTTGTTGTTGAGGGGCTGTTGTGGTGCCCACACCAGTGTCCAGCAATCTATGGACATGCAGAGCAACTGGCTCTGTCACTTGTTTCTGTCTGTATAATGTTTTCTTTCAGTTCGATCTGACTAATCAGACCCGTAGTCACGGGAGCTCAGACCAGATCTCAGGCCCCTTGATGCCATGGACTATGAAAACGACCTTCCTGTGGTCTGACCATGGGCCTCTCCCTGGTCCAGGGTGTTTGCTGTCCGGGGCAGGAGGGGGCGTGGATGGGCAGTGCCAGCTGAGGCCAGGCCCTGCCCCGTCAGTTGATTTCAGGGTGACCTGTGCCTTCCCCCGTGTGCTTTCACCAGGTGTGGACCCAGACGACACCTACAACGAGACCCCCTATGAGAAAGGCTTCTGCTTCGTCTCTTACTTGGCCCACCTGGTGGGGGACCAGGGCCGCTTTGATGATTTTCTCAAGGTACAGTGGTGGTGGGTGGGGAGATCCACCCCAGCAGGGGGAGGTACTGAGAGCATCTGGGGGCGTCCAGGTGGGGGCAGGTCTGGGAATGGGGTTGGGGGGAGGAGCAGCCCTCTGGGACCCCACACCGCTGCAGCGTCTCCCCCGGCACAGGCCTACGTGGATGAATTCAAGTTCCAAAGTATCCTTGCTGATGACTTTCTGGAATTCTACTTGGACTATTTCCCGGAGCTGAAGAAAAAGAGAGTAGATTTACTTCCAGGTAAGCAGGCAGTTTGGCTGCTGCCCAGCGGGCTGGAGGGACTTTTCTGAATTGGACATTTGGAGGAACAGGGAGGTTTGTGGTCAGTGGCCTGCTGGGGTCCGGCTGAGGGCCCAACATGGACTTCTCTCTCCCTTCTGCTCCCCGACTCTCTTCCCATCTCCTGAGGTTCTCTTGCCCAGACACACACACCCCTCCCCCCCGGGGCCGGACCCCAAGGCAGAACCCCTGTACACACACCCCTACCCCTACCCCCTTGGGGCCGGACCCCAAGGCAGAACCCCTGTCTTGAAGCATGAAGGTGGGACCAGGGGCTGAAGACACACTGGGGGGGGGGGGGCGGGCCTGGCGTTGCGTGGTCTCTGGCACTGTGGGAAAGGTGGGAACAGACCCCATAGTGTGAAGTCGCCGCCTCCTGCCACCTTCTGAGTGGGGGCAAGTTCGTGGCTGGCCTTGGGGGCATCTCCTAGGAGAGGTGGGGGTGGCCTGGATGGGGCCACCACTGACCAGATCCCCACCACTATGAGCTAGGCGTGTCCGTCACGGGTTGGGGGAGACCAGCTCCCCAATCAGTGGGGTCAACCTGGCCGTGCCCACCGGTTGGAGATCTGCCATCTGGGCCGTGGCCTCTGTGACCCCACACTCCACATGTTGCAGTGCTGGGCTGAGTCCTGGTCTCACCATGCAGGGCACACGGGGCTTCTCTGCTGAGCTGCATCCCTGCACCCTCATGCTGAGCCCTTCGTGTGTCTTTGTGTCTCTAATGCTCACCACTGCCAGGGTCAGCAGGGCCGCCCGTGCCCATTTTGCAGATGAATGCAAAGTGCAGAGAGTCATAACTGCGTACCCATGGCCTCTCTGCTAGGGCATGGCAGAGCTGGCGGAGGACCCAGTAGCCAGGTTCCTCCTCTCCTCCCTCCCTCCCTCCTTTCCTTCCTCCCTCCCTCCCTCCCTTCTTCCCTCCCTCTCTCTCTCCTTCCCTCCCTCTCCTTCCTTCCTCCCTCCCTTCCTTCTTTCCTTCCTCCTCTCTTCCTTCCTTCCTTCCTTCCTTCCTTCCTTCCTTTCTTCCTTCCTTTCCTCCTTCCTTCCTTCCTTCCTTCCTTCCTTCCTTTCTTCCTTCCTTTCCTCCTTCCTCCCTTCCTTCTTTCCTCCCTCCCTCCCTTCTTCCTTCCTTCCTCCCTCCTTTCTCCCTTCCTTCCTTCGTTCGTTCCTTCCTTCCTTCCTTCCTCCCTTCCTTTCTCTCTCCCTCCCTCCCTTCTTCCTTCCTTCCTCCCTCCCTCCCTTCTTCCTTCCTTCCTCCCTCCTTTCTCCCTTCCTTCCTTCCTTCCTTCCTTCTTTCCTTCCTTCCTTTCTCCCTTTCTCCCTTCCTCCCTTCCTCCCTTCCCCCATTCCTCTCTCTTTTAGGGGCACCACACCTCACAGTGCTCAAGGGCTATTCCTATGTCTGTGGTCAGGAGTAGTCCCTGGCAGTGTTAAGGATCACATGTGGTTTCAGGGATTAAAATGTGCCATATGCAAGGCAAGCACCTTCCCGCTGTACCATCTCTCCGGCCCCCACCTTCACCCTGTAGTGGGGCAGCTCACCCCTGCCTGGACAGTCTAGGGTCCCCCACAGAGCCAGAGTGAGTCTAAGTCCCAGAGAGAACCCGGAGGGACGGGGCAGAGGGTCGCTGGCATCTCTCGGAGTGGCTTGCTCAAGTGACCGGCCATGCGTCTCTCCTGCTGCCCAGGTTTCGAGTTTGACAGGTGGCTGAACATCCCCGGCTGGCCCCCCTACCTCCCTGACCTCTCGGCCGGGGACTCTCTCATGGGCCCGGCGGAGGAGCTGGCCCAGCTGTGGGTGGCCCCAGAGCCCAACATGCAGGCCGTGGCGGCAGTGGACATCTCATCCTGGAGGACCTACCAGCTTGTCTACTTCCTGGATAAGATCCTGCAGGAGTCCCCGCTTCCTCCGGGTACGGTGCATGGTGCAGCCAGTGTGGGGAGCCAGACGGAGCCTCGGGAGGAGGGGTACAGTGTGCGAATTAGACCAGGGAGGCAGTGGTGGACAGACACAGGCCTTGGCAAGGACTGTCCTCGTGCTGAGGGTCCCTTGGGCCTGGGTTCTGCATCAGGGAAGGGTTTAATCCTCAGGATTACTCCATGCAATGGACATCGTGCCTGGCCACCCGGGCCCTGGAGAAGGAGGTGCCCAGAGGTGCCAGAGCTGGTGACGGGTGGCGCTGGGCCCCAGACCAGGCTCTTAAGCACCCCCGAAGCTGCTGCTCAGAAATGATATTCAACAGGCAGGTGCAATGCAGAAGCAGAAGCCCACAACATGCAGCAGGTGGCGCTGGGCAAATATGTGGCCAGGGAGAAGGTTCAAGGAGGTTGAGCATGTGGGCACCCCAGTTCATTCCCGGCACCGCATGGTCCCCTCCGCACCGCCAGGGGACACTGAGCACAGAGCTGGGTGCAGCTCAAAAACCAGAAAAATGAAAACGTGTTTGATGAGATATTCGGGGTTGGGGGTAAAGAGATAGTTCAGGGGTGAAGTGCACGCCAGCAGGCCCTGATTTAAATCCCTGGCACCACATCTGGTCCCCCAAGCATCACCAGGAATCACACTGAGCACAGAACCAGGAGCAGTTCCTGAGCACCAGTGTTGTGGGCCACTACTCTCCCCCCCACACACACACACACTAAACTTTTACTTTTTTTTTGCTTTTTGGGTCACACCTGGCGATGCACAGGGGTTACTCCTGGCGGTGCTCAGGGGACCATATGGGATGCTGGGAATTGAACCCGGGTCAGCTGCATGCAAGGCAAACACCCTACCTGCTGTGCTATTGCTCCAGCCCCTAAACTTTTACTTTTTAAAAAATGAAAAAGGGGTTGCTGGAGCGATTGTACAGCGGGTAGGGCATTTGCCTTGCATGCAGTCTACCTGGGTTCAATTTCCAGCATCCCATATGGTCCCCTGAGCACTGCCAGGAGTAATTCCTGAGTGCATGAGCCAGGAGTAACCCCTGTGCATCACTGGGTGTGACCCAAAAAGCAAAAAAAATTAAAAAATAGAAAAGGGGCCCACACCTAGCTGTGTTCAGGGCTTTCTCCTGGCTCTGTGCTCAGGTTCACTATTTGCAGGGCTCAGGGGACCATATGGGGTGCTGGGAGTTCAACCTGAGTATTCTCTTTCCAGCCCCTAAATTAAATAAAACCTAAAAAAGAAAAAGTTGCCTGAGCTGCTCCAGGTGCCCTAATCCAGGAGGAAGATGAGTCACAGGACTCACAAGTATTTGAAGAAGGGCCTTTGGCCCAAGGGCCCATGTGGGACTCAGACATGACCACGTGTGGGTGCCCCTGAGCTGGGACACTATGTGTGGCCTAGGTTTCGGTTCTCCTAGGCCTGCAGAGGGCCCCAGGGCAGACACAGGGTGCCCAGGTGGGATGCGTCTCTGTTCCTTGGGGTCCACCTCCAACGTGGAGCTGGGCCGTTTCTTCCACCAGGGAACGTGCGGAAGCTGGCCGAGACCTACCCACAGATCTCTGAGGCCCGCAACGCCGAGCTGCGGCTGCGATGGGGCAAGATAGTGCTCAAGAACGACCATCAGGAGGACTTCGGGAAGGTGAAGGCGTTCCTGCAGAGCCAGGTGGGCGGCCCTCATGGCAGCACCCGTGTCCGGTGATGGCCAGGCTGGGCCCGGCCGCCAGGACACTGACTCCCCACGCTGTCTTGCAGGGGAAGCAGAAGTACACGCTGCCACTGTACCATGCCATGATGCGCGGTAGTGCAGCCGCGCAGACCCTGGCCCACGAGATCTTCGCTGCCACCTCTGCCCAGCTCCACAGCAACGTGGTCAACTACGTGCAGCAGATCCTGGCGCCCAAGGGCAGCTAGACACCAGCGGGCACAGTACAGCTCGCTGCCAAGCCATCCCTGGGCCCCCCGGGGGCTCCCCAGGACTGCTGCAGGCTATGGGGGACCATTCTTCTCCCCCCTGCCTCCCTCTGCCAGAACCTGGGAAGAACAGAGCCAGTGAACTTTGTCTTTTTGCTGATCTCCAAGTACTATGCAAAGGGATGCAGCCTGCTTATTCTTTTTTGCAGGTTTCCTCCTTATTTTAATCAATATTTTTAAGTGACAAGTCGGAGTTGAATTTCTTCTTCACACCAGGTGTGTGTGCGCGTGTGCACGTGTGTGTGTGTGTGTGTGTGTTTTCCCCTTCTCTTGGAATAACTGATTTAGGGGGTCCCACACATGGTTGTGATGCTGATAGGGGCTGCACACTACTTGGTGCTGACCAGGAGTTACACATCTGGTGTGCACACCTGGCCTTGCATTCCTGACTCACACACCTGGCTCTCACACTTTTCGGTTTATTTAATTTTACCATTTAGTTACTATTTTATTACTATTACTATTCACTATTTAGCACCCAGTGGTACTCAGGGCTTTTTCCTGGACCTGGGATTACTCCTGGTATGGCTGCATGCTGGGCAGGTGACTAAACCCCTGCACAACCTTGCCTGTGCCCTGGAACTCCACACCTTCAGTGGCCCTGCTTGCTGGGACTCATGCCACGTGTCAGGGGTTTCTCTCTCTTTTTCTCTCTCTCTCTGGGGCTCTTGCAATGTGTCAGAGGTTTTCTCTCTCTCTTTTTTTTCTGCTTTTTTTTTGGGGGGTCACACCCGGCGATGCACAAGGGTTACTCCTGGCTCTGCACTCAGGAATCCTGGCAGTGCCCAGGGGACCATATGGGATGCTGGGACTTGAACCTGGGTTGGCCGCATGCAAGGCAAACGCCCTACCCTCTGTGCTATCTCTCCAGCCCAGTCTCAGTCTCAGTCTCTCTGTCTTTAAATTTTGGGTCACACCCTGAGATGCTCTGGCTCTGCGCTCAGGAATTACTCCTGGGGGGGATCTTACCAGGTTGGTCTCACACAAAGCAAGAGCCCTAATCACTGTGCTATCTCCAGCCCCAGAAGTTACACTGTGATTGAAGGGGGTTCCCAGACAGCAGTTACCTGGAGATTGAATGTTTGCTGCCCCTAGGATTGAACTCATGCCCTCACACTTTCAAGGCAGTGCCTTTGCCATCAGGCCATCCTGCCTCCTCTGTGTGTGTTCGGGGTCCGCAGTCAGACCCAGAGATTGGCAGCATTTCCAGCTTTTAGGAGCCCCCAGGCTAAGGATGGTGCAGGCCCTGTGCCTGCATATAAGAAGAATTCAGGCGGCAGAACTGGTAGGCCAGACCAGGCCCTAGTCCCCAACTCCCCAGTCCTCTGTGGTCCCCCAAGTTTCTTGGGCTGCGGCTGTGCTCCCACCTGGCTTGCATTTTCTTGGTTTTTGATCTGACCTGGTAATTCCTGGGGCTTCCCAGGCCTCACCCATCTATGAGCTGGAATAGCTGGTTTTAAAAAATGTGTGTATTGGTTGATATTTTTTTTGGGGGGGGGGGGATAGGGGAGGGGGATACATCCCAGTGGTGCTCAGGGCTTAATCATGCCTCTGCACTAAGAAATCATATCTGGTGGTGCTTGGGGGAGCACTTGGGATGCTGGGGATTGACCCCAGGTTGGCTGTTTGCAAGGCAAGTGCCCTGCCTGCTGGCCCTGGGCAGCTATTTTAATGGTGAGTTCGGGACTGGGTGGAGTACTGATTTCCTGGCTTCGACCTGGAAACCCAAGAGCAACAAAGGCCAGGGCAAGTCCCCATGGCTTTCTCAGTACCCAAGCCATCCAGCCTTTGCTGGCTTTGTTCCACCATAAGGGCCCTTTAAGTCACTCTGTTTTCTTTCTAAATGTTATGTAACAAATTCCTACCAGGTCAGCACCTTAAAGCAACACAATCTCCCAGTTCCAGTGCATCGGGAGCCCAGGCTTGGGTACCCATTTATGATCTCACAGACAAGCAAAAGCATAATCTCGACTAGGTTCTCATTGGAAGAGCCAGATGTTTGCAAGTTCCTGTTGGCTGTTAGGAGCTTGATCTCTGGCCACGTGACACCCTCCATAAGCCTTCTTGTCCCACGGCAACTCAGAGTTAGCAAACCTAGTGTTTAATCTACTGCTCTCAAGGTCTACACCCCAGGATTTCCTATGGGTTATAAGCAAGTCCCAGTTTCTGCCTGAAAACAAAGGGAAGAGATGATGTGTAGGAGGAACTAGAGCAGGAACTGGAAAATCACTGGGGGTTCTGTTGGGCTCTGCCCCAATCAGCCTGAGAACCAAGAATATATATGCCAGAGGAAAATTTCAACTCCCAAAGACAAACCAAACCTCAGCCAGAAGCACCTGACAGTGCTCTGCACTCCACATCTCACACCAAACTCTGGGAGGAATCCAGGGCCTTGGGCACTGTAGCACCGCACTGTCTTCCCGTTGTTTTCATCGATTTGCTTGAGTGGGCACCAGTAACGTCTCCATTGTGAGACTTGTTGTTACTGTTTTTGGCATATCGAATACGCCATAGGGAGCTTGCCTGGCTCTGCCGTGCGGGCGGGATACTCTTGGTAGCTTGCCGGGCTCTCTGAGAGGGATGGAGGAATCGAACCTGGGCTGGCTGCATGCAAGGCAAACGCCCTACCCACTGTGCTATCCCTCCAGCCCAGGGCCTTGGGCACAGAGGGATAATCTCAACTGACATTTTTGTTGCTGTTGTTATTTTTGTTGTTTTGGGATCACACCTGACAATGCTCAGGATCACTCCTGGGGGTGCTCAGGGGACAATATGGGATTCCAGGCATACCTGCTGTACTAGTTCTGGCCCTTAACTTACTTTTGGGGATTTAGTCCTGTACTCAGGGGCTCCCCAGCTGGGGACTTTTCCTCTCTTGACTTTGCAATAAACTTCTATCTTCCTAAAAAGATACTAATAAATTTACATGTTGGGGATAACACACCTAGTCAAAACGAGATGACTTTCTTCTCAGTGTCATTACTGTCCTTATCTTTGCCCCTCCCAGCACCTGGAGAGCTTTAGTTTGTATTTTATTTTATTTTTGCAACATTGTTCACAATAATTTATTACATTCAATATTTCAACACCAATCCCACCACCATTATACCTTCCACCACCATTATTCTGAATTTTACCACCACCACCCAAGCTCCAAAGACAAATGCTAAATAATTTATTTTCTATTGTTTGTTATGAATAATCACTAAAAATGATCCAAAACTTTTCCTTAGAGGAAAGTGTGTGAAAATTGTTGTATCTCACCTTGGAACCATTATGCCCCTGTATAAGAGATCAATAACATGTTATGGGTTGAGCCTTGTGTCCTAATTGTGTGTATGTGTGAATATATATATGTATATATATATGTATATATATATATGAGCTGGAGCGATAGCACAGCAGGTAGGGCGTTTGCCTTGCACACAGCCAACATGGCCGACCCGAGTTCGATTCTTCCGCCCCTCTCAGATTGCCTGGCGAACTACTGAGAGTATCTCGACCACGCAGCAAAGCCTGGCAAGCTATCCGTGACATATTCGATATGCCAAACACAGTAACAACAAGTCTCATGATGGAGACGTTACTTGGCCCGCTCAAGCAAATCGATGATCAATGGGAGAACAGTGCTACAGTGCTATACATAAAGATCAGCTACCTTCTACCTTACACCCCATCAAATGTGGTATGCTACTCTTGGTTCACCTGTGGTGTAGAGTATGTGATATTACATAGCCACATTTGCCACAGGCTCCAAGAATTCTTTTTTTTTTTTGATTTTTGGGTCACACCTGGCGATGCCCGGCAAGCTACCGAGAGTATTCGATATGCCAGACACAGTAACAACAAAGTCTCCAATGGAGACGTTACTGGGCCCGCCCGAGCAAATCGACGATCAACGGGAGGGCCTTTACCTTTACCTTACCTGGCGATGCACAGGGGTTACTCCTGGCTCTGCACTCAGGAATTACCCCTGGCGGTGCTCAGGGGACCATATGGGATGCTGGGAATCGAATCCGGGTTGGCTGCATGCAACGCAAATGCCCTACCCACTGTGCTATTGCTCCAGCCCCCAGGCTCCAGGAATTCTAAATTTTTTATTTTTTTTATTTTTTTTTTGCTTTTTGGGTCACACCCAGCAATGCTCAGGGGTTACTCCTGGCTCTGCACTCAGGAATTACTCCTGGTGATGCTTGGGTGACTATATGGGATGCTGGGAATCGAACCCAGGTCGGCTGTGTGCAAGGCAAATGCCCTACCCACTGTGCTATCGCTCCAGCCCTGGAATTCTAAATTGTTTAAATAGGGAGATGGAGTTAAATTTTTAAGTAGATGGTGATTTTGGGTTTGAGGCATCTCTGCAGTGTGTTGCTCTCTTCTGAGATTTATTTGTGAGTCTGGATCATGGCCATTAGTTTATATGGTGCCCAGAGGCAATTCGTGGGTGTGACTACCAGGTACCCTGAAGCACAGGGAGATGAGAGGTGAGGGCCCATTCCTGACTCTATGGACCTGGAGATTTCAGTCACAAAACCTGCATACTTGGGTCTTTTAGCAGATCCTCATGCGTTAGGGGCTTGTCCTGAGCTTGTAAAGACCAGCCATGAGCATGACAGAGATTGGGTTCTGGAGGTTTGCAAATACCAGGGTTCTGTTGGGGCAGGAGGAGGGACACACCCTCTCCCCCTCTGAGGTATACCGGATGAAATCAGCCTGGCACAGGGTGAGGAGACATCTCTGCAGTGTGTTGCTCTCTTTGAAGATTTGTGAGTCTCTGAAGAGCTTTAGTTTTAACGTGCTCAAATCACTTTGTGTTTGTAGACAAGACACATCAAGTAGCCCCAAAGCATTATTAATTATCTACATGTTAATGTGAACAAGGGTGCAGCATGTCTTGGGAGAAGGCTGAGGTCTGGGAACAAAACATGATTCTGCGCACAGTGAAATGCCCTGAATTGCTTCCAATTAACATTATTTCCTCTGGGAAAACTCATCCTCTTATCAGTGGGACACATCCAGGATGATTGTCCTCACTGGATACTCAAATGGGTGGCAAGGCTGTACCCACACTAGAAA